AGAAAACCGGTTCGGTTTGAAAACCAAACCGTTTAAAACCGGTTCGGTTCGGTTTTTGTTAAAACCGGTTACGAACCGCTCCATGCACACCCCTAGTCATGAGTGACGGAGGGAGTGAAAGCAACTTTGGACAATTGACAATTATAAGTGTTTTGAGGTGAATCAGAGTTGACAGCCACTTAGGAAGCTCCTCAAGATTGTCACTGCTTGAAACGATTAAGCAAAGTAATGTATTCGCAGATGTTGTTATCCTGCATGTGTTTATCAAATAGTATAGTGACATTTGTTGCAATTATTTGCAAATTAGAAGATTGTAACTTGTGAGGATTTTGTTTTAATGTGGCTTACCAATTTGATAATTATCTTTGTTTCAGATGTTGTTCTTGAATAATATCATTCAACAGAAAAGTCCTGGTGAAAGTGTAATTGTCAACAACACTTCTTTCAAGTGGTAATCGGTTGTTATTATGTTTTCTTAATAGGTTATTGCTAAAAAATTTAAGGTTCCCTGTTCAACTGCAAAGTCAAAGATTAATAATACCTAGGATCTTGATTTTAGGTAAACACTCCTGACCTATTTTCCTGGAAATGGAAAACAAAGAATTGAAAACTTCACATGGATTGATTAACACAAACAAATTTAGAAATGGTGGTTTGATTTCTGGTTTGTGGGCTATGCCTCGGATTCATGGTTTGGGTACTGGGGGAATTACCGATGGCTGCTATTGTTTTGGTAATTGGTATATAGTTAGGGAAAAACTACTCTCCAGCGACAGGAGAGTAGTCTATTTTCATCTAGAGACATGGACTTTTATGTTTTTTGTTTTTTTTTTTTTTTTTTTTTATAATTATGTGGGCTCCACCATGTGATTGTGAGAGTGATAGGAGATATTCTTTCTTGTTGCTGTAGATTAGTATAGCCCATATAATTATCCTCATTGGTTAAATACTTAAGTTTTTGGGTTTTATAAGAGTTATGTTGTAGGAAAAGTGATTGTGTATGTTATAGAGATTCATTTTGCGTGTCGTAATTTTTTTTTTCTTTTTTCTTCAAAAAATGTGGGTCCCACAAAATGTTGTGTGTGTAGGAAAGTTTGTTGTGTAATATTAAATGACAAATGCAAACCCCTAAGCCTTTTTATGCAAATAACTTGTAAATTTGTTGTTTATTAGTTGCACGATATTTCTCCTGATCTGGCCCTCATGCAAAGTTTGTCTCTTGCAATAATCACCTCGAAATTATTTGCCAAACTCCATTCCTCTTTTCTCATATTTGGGTTAATTCAATTTAAGGCACTACAAGAATTAATGTCATTCAACCAACTCCATTAAAAAAAAATAAAAAAATCAGGTAATACACGTTAATGCTTTTTATTTTGTATTCCTATCACTTCTAAGTTCTAATCGTCTCTCTCTCTCCTTTAATAATTCTAAAATGATATTTATTGATTTTTAAAACTCTATTCTTTTTTGTTTTTTAATAGGTACCGTCCTCTGTTTGCCAGGTGACAAAATTCCCCTAAGATGGCTATCTCTTGTGTATATATTTTTCTGTGAATTTGTTAGTTAATTCAATTATTCTATCAGTTACAAAAAATTGGATCCATTTTGAAATTAGAATTAAATTTATTATTATGCAAAAACTAGACAAAGCTGGAATAGCTCAGTTGGTTAGAGCGTGTGGCTGTTAACCACAAGGTCGGAGGTTCAAGCCCTCCTTCTAGCGATATATATTTAAAAAGTTTTCAACGTTCTTTTTCTCTGATTCACATTTTCTCTATCTTTAAAACTTTTCGACATTCTTTTTCTCTGATCCGGTGGTTGGTTTGGTGCTATAAAATTTCAATATCCCCCCTCACATTTTCTAACCTTTTTTTTGGGTATTACTTTGTAAGAATATTTAACTTAGCGAAAGATACTTGTCTTTTGATTCTTAATTTTTTTTCCAGCAAATCTTCAGTCATATAAGCCTATTTAACCTAGTTAAGATAATTGTTGACATTCGTCTGTAATTTTATAGTTAAAGAATTAACACTTCATGATAAAAATATCCATGTCACAATATCCTTCTCTCATTATCTTAGGTTCGTTAGTGAAAAATCCTCAAATAATCTTTTACTATTCTGATTCATTTTTAACCAACACCTTTCAATCAAATTACTCAATAGTTTCATTACATATCTATTCTCATCCTTCTAGATTCGTTAGTGAAAATCCCTTTAATATCACTCTAATTGTAAAGTCTCCCCTCTACCCTACTACGATTTAGAGCTTTTTTTTTTTTTTTTTTTTTTTGGAGGTTACAAGGAATTGAACACAACACCTTACACTACACACACTCCTAGCACACACACCCCACACCACTAGGCTAACCCTAGTGGTTCGATGTAGAGCTTCTTTGAATGGGCTTCTTCTATCCATAAATTGCTTCTTTTTTATTTATTTATTTATTTTAAAGTGCTTTTAAATATATATTTTTTGGCTGTTTGGATTGAGCTTTTAATAAAAGCAAAAGCAGTAAAAAAAATCAATTAAAATCTTACTTTTTTTTAAAAGCTAAAAATTGTCGCGCCAAAAGCTACTTTGACGCTCTCCCGCTTTTGGGATTGGAATCCATTTCCATTGGAAATAGTGGAGAAAATGGAATCTCAAATTGCAAGTGGATAAAGACCCAAACTTTTCGAGTTTGAGAACCAGAAACAATGGCCCAAAAGAGCATTAAGAGGATGGGGGAGGTTGAAATGGAAATGGGTCTGACCAGAGTGGGTTGAGAGAGAAGTAGCTCGCTGGGTGAGAATCACTCGCAAATTGCCATCGGCACCTTCCAAGACACAGATCAGATCTGCAGCTCTCTTTGAATTGAATTGGATTTGGTTGTGCATCGAATTGGAATTGCTGGGGTTGTTGGTTATCGAATTCGAAGAGCGAAACTGATCAACCAATGCTTGTAATCTCTGTGAACCTCGTACCTCTGGTCTATTTGAACTCATTCCCTTCTTCAATGGAAATGGAATTAAATTAAATTGACTTTTAGTGCGTGGGAATTGTCGTGAGCGGAGGAGAGGACGATGTCAATGTGCCATGGAAATGGAGTGAGTAACAAGGGCACAATGGTCATTTTATATTAAAATGTGCATTTATATTAAAAAGTGTTTTTTTAATGATAGTTTTACTTAAAAGCAATTTTTAAATATTGCATCCAAACACAAAATAACTTTAACTTTCAAAAAAGATTCTTTTAAAAAAAGCAACTCATAAAAATCTTTACTCCTCTGAATTTTTAAAAGCAACTTATAAAAATCTTTTAAAAGCTCATCTAAACGGACCCTTAGTTTCAAAAATACACTCAAAATATAAATTTAATTTTTTGATAAATAGATCTTTACTCCTCTGAATTTTTGTTTTAAAACATCTTTAAAACAATTTACTAAATTAGTTTCATTATTTTCCAATTGTTATTATTATTATTATTATTATTAATATTATTATATAGGAGAATGATCCGTTTACAAACTTTTTTGACAAAATTTTACAAATTACAGTGTCTTCTCCCGGGAGAACATAGGGAAACCTAGTGTTCTCCCGGGAGAAGATAGTGTAGTTTGTAAGAGTTTGTAATCAAAAAAGTTTGTAAATATAACCTACCCAATCATTATATATACTAAGGGAATAAACATCAATGGAAAGTTTAGTGACGTGTCACTCCCACATTTAGTTTCACCAATGTGTTCACAATTGAGAAAATTTAAAAACTTTCTTCATTTGGTATTTTTGTTAAATCGAAAATGCAGAGTTAATTAAAATAAAATAAATGTTTTTCTTATTTTTCACCAATGTCTTCCACATCTTTATACATTGGTAATCGTTATGTGCATTGAATGTTATAATTTGAATTCAAATAAGAAAAGAGACTTTTCAAGTCCATTTTGGAAGTGGTGTATAAATAATGATGATGATTTGTCTGACTTTTCAATTTTTTAATTACTAAAATCAATATTCGAAAAGTTTACTTAAATGATATAATACTTATACAGGTGATAAAAAGTGAGCCAATAGTGATAAAAGAGAGATTGACGTCGAATTCATGTCAGAGAATTATAACACCATTAATTTTTTGAAAAGTTAATTTTTTAATTAGTAAAATCAAAATTCGAAGAGTTTACGTAACTCTTAAATGATAGTGCTTTGGAACACGAAAAGCTGTTTTCGAGGAGTCAAAACAACACTCTTAAATTGCTGACAAAATATAACTATGCAGTTGCTCCATAACCCAACTCCGTGCCAGTTATCCGTTTGCAAGTTCACAGTTATTATTCAAAAAACTCACATTTAAAACGATAAGCGTACAAACCAAATGAAACTCTAATTTTTTTATTACTGAAATTAAAATTCGAAAAGTTTCCATAAATGAGGGATGCATTGGAACACGAAAAGTCGTTTTGAGAGTCCAAGCGACACTCTTAAATTGCTGTCAAAATATAACTATATAGTTTCTCGATAAGGGAATAAACATAAATTGCTCTCAAAACATGTGAGAGAGTTATAACACCATTAATTGCTGGATTGAATGTTAATTAATGGTTAGTTGGAGTTTTTATTACTTGCGTTGAATTGAGATTGGTTTATAAAACGTTGAATTGATATTGACTTATAAATGAGAGTGTGTAGACTTGACAAAATCCTCACATTTAAAACGATAATGGTACCAAAGGAATATTTAATTTTTTAATTACTAAAATCAATATTCGAAAAGTTTACTTAAATGATATAATACTTATACAGGTGATACAAAGTGAGCCAATAGTGATAAAAGAGGGATTGACGTCGAATTCATGTCAGAGAATTATAACACCATTAATTTTTCGAAAAGTTAATTTTTTAATTAGTAAAATCAAAATTCGAAGAGTTTACATAACTCTTAAATGATAGTGCTTTGGAACACGAAAAGTTGTTTTCGAGGAGTCAAAACAACACTCTTAAATTGCTGTCAAAATATAACTATGCAGTTGCTCCATAACCCAACTCCATTTCACCATTCCGTTTGCAAGTTGACAGTTATTAACGTTGAATATACTTGTCAGAGTAGTGCCATCAAATATCTTTTTAAATATATTCATAAGGGAAATGATCGAGTTACAGCTGCCATACATCATTCAAATTCAACTCATCATGGAACTCGCACAAACGATGAAATTAAAATGTTTTATGATTGCAGGTACATTTATTCACGTCCAGTGTCTTCTGTTGTCGAGCTAACTTTGTAAAATTTTATCTGTTTATTTCAGTTCATTGCTTTTTAAACAATAGGTATGTCTCTGCATGTGAAGCGGCATGGCGTATTTTTGGATTCGACATTCATTACATATACCCTCCTGTTCAAAGATTGCCTTTCCACCTGCCCAATCAAAAGAGCATTGTTTTCAATGATTGTGCTTCAATCTCTGATGTAAAGACAATGGCTGAGTCTAGAAGAACAATTTTCGAATCTTGGATGGAAGCAAATAAAAAATTTCCAGAAGGGAGAGATCTTACTTATGCAGAGTATCCAACTCATTTTGTTTACGTAGAAGACGCCCAAGAATGGCGTCCGAGAAAAAGAGGATTTTCAATTGGAAGAATTAATCGTTTCTCATCAAATAATGGAGAAGATTCCTATCTTCGGATCCTGCTTACTTATCAAAAGGGTTGTACATGTTATGAAGATTTGAGAACAATCAATGGCGTGCTTTTTCCGTCATTCAAGGATGCATGTTATTCTTTGGGACTGTTGGATGATGACAATGAGTACATTGATGCAATTAAGGAGGCAAGTTTCTGGGTGTTTGCTTATTATCTTCGAAATCTTTTTGCTCTATTGTTATTAAGTAACTCAATGACGAAACCTGAAAATGTTTGGGATAAATGTTGGAATTATCTGTCCGACGATGTTCTTTATAGGCATAGGAAAAACACCGGACGTCAAGGTACGTGTTGTTTATTATTATTATTATTTGGTATTATATTTTAATTTATCTATTCGTGTTATCTTTCTCATTGTTGATTTGTTTTTTTTTTTGTAAATGATTTTATTTTCTAATGTCAGTGCATGTCATGAAATAAATCAGAAGTGCGCAATTGTAAATTGTGACCGTACAATCAAAAATCCGAAATATATTAACAATGATTTTTAAGTTGGATGGTTTTTTTGTAGAGAATTGGAACATCATTTCGTCTTTCCATGTTATCTATCTGTTTGTTATTTTTTCTTTCTAACTCTGTAATGTGTGTTATCAGATGCGGTACTTGATGAAGAGTCAATAAAAAACATAACACTTGCTGAAATTGATAAGGTACTGCAAAGCAATGGAAGGTGTCTCTCTGATTATCCAACAATGCCCCGCGTAATCAGTGAATCTTTGTTTGATATGCCAAATAGATTGGTTTTGGATGAATTATCATATGATAGATCTTCTTTGATGGAAGAGCATAAAAGACTTAATAGTTCTCTTAATGATGAGCAGAGAGTTGTTTATGACAAGATCATTTCAGCTGTTTTAGCAGGTAAAGGGGGATTTTTTTTTCTTTATGGATATGGTGGTACAGGAAAAACATTCATCTGGAATACTCTTTCAGCTTTCGTTAGATCAAAAGGGGAAATCGTGCTAAATGTTGCTTCCAGCGGAATTGCTTCCCTTTTGCTTCCTGGAGGACGAACAACTCATTCTAGATTTCGTATTCCTATTCAGATCACTGAAGATTCAACCTGTAATATCAGGCAAAATTCTACTCTTTCTGAGTTGCTGTCAAAAACAAAATTAATCATTTGGGACGAAGCCCCAATGGTACACAGATTTTGCTTTGAGGCTTTGGACAAAACACCAAGGGATATTCTGAGATTTTCCGATACCGGTTGTTTTGATAAGCCATTTGGTGGAAAGGTAGTTGTTCTGGGAGGTGACTTTCGACAGATATTGCCAGTTATTCCTCATGGCAGCAGACAGGACATAGTCCATGCAACCATCAATTCTTCATATCTTTGGACGCATTGTCATTTACTAAATTTGACCAAGAACATGCGTCTTAATTCTGGAGGTGGCGTTCATAATTTAGTGGAAATAAAAAATTTCTCTGATTGGCTTCTTAAAGTGATGGTGACATTGGAGATAGTGTTGATGGAGAATCTCTCATAGCAATTTCACCTGAATTATTGATTGGGGAATCTGAAGATCCACTCTCGGATATGGTTGATTTTGTGTACCCGAATATCTTGGATTATATTTTAGATCCTGCTTTCTTCAAAGAACGTGCAATTTTAACTCCCAGATTGGCAGATGTTTCCATCTTAAACGAGCGCCTCATGTCTTTGATTCCGGGAGAGGAAAAAACATATTTGAGTTCGGATAATGTGCTGAAGCAGGATGCTAATTCTCAACTTGAGGACAACGAATTCTCACCTGATATTTTAAATACCTTCTCATGCTCGGGTCTTCCTGAACATAAATTAACTCTTAAGGTTAATGTGCCAGTTATGCTGTTGAGAAATATTGATCAATCAAGAGGTTTGTGCAATGGCACAAGACTGCTCATTTCACGATTGGGCAGTCATGTTGTTGAGGCAACTGTTCTTACAGGAAGCAATATAGGTGAGAGTGTTTTGATCCCTAGAATGACGATGAGCCCATCCAATCATACATTTCCTGTATATTTCCAAAGAAGACAATTCCCTTTGACTGTTTCATTTTTCATGACTATCAACAAGAGTCAAGGACAATCTCTTTCTCATGTTGGCATTTATCTCCCTAGACCTGTCTTCACTCATGGACAATTATATGTGGCACTATCTAGAGTAAAGAGTAAACAGGGATTGAAGATATTGATACTTGATGATAATGGTTGTGTTACAGAGAACACCTTTAACATTGTCTACAAGGAAGTATTTCCGAAATCGGTGTAGTTCTTTTTGTCCACTGTAAGATTATATTTCTTTTATTCTATTTCTTCTGCATCTTAAAATATAAGTGTTATGTGTTTAATGACCAATCTGGGATCTGTAATGCGATCTCTAATTTTTTTTATTCCTTGCTTGCTATATTAATTTGTAATTTCTCTTCTCAAATAGTGTTCATCCAATATAATTTATGGTTGTTTTGTTTTTGGTTTTTGTAGGTTGTTGGACGTGTTCTTTTTGCCCGAGGAATGCAAGATAGAAAAAAAAAAACAGCGAAAATTTATTGGTCGCACTGGCTGTATTCATTGTCCTGGATTCTGTAGCATTTTTTACTTCATTCAATAAGATGGCATGTTGTTATTTTCAAAGTTCTGCGTGAATGCTGTAGTTTTTTCAAGTACAAAAATACCACGATAATTTTTTTCTATTTCAGATATGTCTCAAGTAACAGGTATTTTTTTGTGTGATTTTTGTTATTTTTCAAAGTTTTTGTGTATTTTTTCATACATCTCCAACATATTATAATTCAGAGCTTTACGCTAAGATGAAGGTGTTGATTTACAAACAGCGATGATTAACCAACGACGGGCGACAACAATTTTATTATTTTTTCCCCGGGCATCGCACGGGTAATTGACTAGTATATATATATATATATGGATAGGTTATTTTGCCTACTCCAATTTTACCTACCTTTGCCTACCTCTTTCATTATCGTTCTATTACAATATAATCCAACGATCCATATTTGCAAAATAAAATAAACCCTTTTCCCCCTTTCTTTCTCCTCATTTCCTCTCTCACCCTTTCTCTCTTCCTCTACACCATACCTATTATTTTTTCCTTCATTGCTGTGTCTGCCGCTGTGGACCTCTTTAACCCCCCACCCTCTCCAACTCCATGTGAAGTGAGAAGCTTTTCAACTTCAGAAAAAGAATTTGAAAAAAAAAACCCAATTTCAATTTATCAATTTTTTCCAAATGCAAATCATCTATCTATGTTTTGACACCCTGTTTTAATCAATAATTTAAGAGAATAAGCATTTGCAGGAAAGGTGACCTCTCTTTTTTTAGAGAATAACCATCGTAAGTATTGGGTTCCTCCATTTGGTCGAAAAGAATGTGGGCATATCGAATGTCTCTGGTATGGCGTAGAGGAAGAGAGAAAGAGGAGGAGAGAGAAAGGGAGTGGGAGAAAATGAGGAGAGAGAAAGGAGAAAAAAAAGGTTTATTTTATTTCGCAAATATGGACCGTTGGATTAGATTATAATCGAACGATAATGGAAGGGGTAGGTAAAAGTAGGCAAAATGGAAGTAGGGAGAATAACCTATCTCTCTCTCTCTCTCTCTATATATATATATATATATATATATATATATATATAGAGAGAGAGAGAGAGAAATATTTCTCCAGTAACTTGAGATAAGTTTTTCTCCGACCACCCCAAAACTACGTCGTTTTGTTTATTTATTTCTTTATATTAATTGATTCACCTTAGAATGATTATGATCCTCTTTTTCTCTCTCTTCCTTTATCATCATTGAACCATCTTTGTACAGTTATGTTTTAGTAGCCGTAGATAAATTTATCTCAAGCAGCTTGAAAAACGATAAGCCCGTATATATATATATATAGGCAGGATCCTTTGACACCGGTGTCAAATTTAAAGTTTGACACCTGACCTGAGAGCCGTTAGATCAAAAAATATCAATGGTGTCACATGCTTACGAATCAGAGTCGTTGATATATTTTGATCTAACGGCTCTCAGATGATGTGTCAAACTTTAAATTTGACACTGGAGTCAAATGATCCTGCCTCATATATATATATATATATATATATATATATATATATATATATATATATATATATATATGAGAAGGGATATATTTACAACCCAAATAATTTACAAACTCTTACAACCATATCTCAACCGTTGATTTCCATCAATCAACAGTTGTCATTTATTGTGAATTAATAATTAATTAATAAATTTGATTTGAAAAATCTTACCCGTTAATTGATGAAAATCAACGGTTAAGCTATGATTGTAAGAAGTTGTAAACGAAAATAAATTGTAAATATAACATTTTCCTATATATATATATATATATATATATATATATATATATTGCGAAGTAAATGAAATATAAGCAAACTTTACATAATTATATAACGTTTTATTAATATTTTAAAAAGTAACCGATACTGATAAATATGAATCCAAATTAAACATAAACCCCTAAAATAATTCCATTTTGTTTTGTTTTTTTAACTCTTGGACGATGATAACACTGGACCCACAATGCAAGAGGTTATAAACATTATAATTTAAAGAATATATTAAATTTAAGGGAATAATGCATCTGTGGCAGAAAAAAAAAAGTGCCACAGATAATAAAAATAAAATAAGTTCATTATTTAATCAGTTTCTCTTTCCTTATGGGTTTCTTTTTCTTCGATTTATTCTTTTTGACAGAATTTTTTTTTCTACCACAGATATTCAGTAAATTTAATCACATCATTACATGCTGGGTTGTTTTTATAATTGGGAAGAGTATCACATGATTGTCGTGTGCTCAACTTTCTCGATATTAACAATAGAAATACTTTACTATTTTTGTTAAATCCTTGATTCTCGTGGTAGTTTACAAGTTATGCTTCTTTCTCGCTTTTTTCAGCATTTAGGATGTGGTGTGAAAAGTAGTGTGCAAATATAATTTACTTTTATTTTTTATTTCTCCTCAGGTGCAAGTATAATTTCTCATATTTCAAAAGAAAGATACCATTGAGCAGACATATGAACTCTTTGCTGAAATAATTGAAATAATAGCATTTTTGTTGCTTCAATGAAAGTTTCAAACCCAATTCACTTCAGGCAGACCCTTTTATTCTTCAATTTAAATCATCTTTTCAAGAGCTTTAGTACATCTCCAACCAAATGCAGAGAACCAGTGACAAGAACCTGAAACCATTGGTAAGAAATGGTTCTCAGCATGCAGGTCGTATAGGGGAGGGGGATAGCAAGCTGGAGAGAAAATAAAAAAAATAAAGGAAAAGAAAAAAACAGAGATGTGATTTAGGGGCACACAAACACTTCTCTCTATCCTATTAATGTCTGCATCAGCATATGAACCTGCCTTGCAAAACATGACCAAGAGGAAGGAAAGGAAACAGAAAGTAAAAGGAAATCTAGTGTTATCAAACTGGACAGATCATCAACTCAATTGGGGTACTAAGTCACAGGTTCACCCAGCTGAATCAAATATATATAAAAATGTGATAAATATAATAATAGAAACATTATAACAAATATATAAGTGTTGCTTATTAGTTAATGTAGCATGCATGTATTATTTGCAAGGGTATGGGCTTGAACTCTATATGTATAAAACCAGTGATGATTTGTACCGGTTCAACCTGATTAAGAGCAGGTTCATTGTTTTTCAGATCAGTTCATTACTTAACGGTTGAATTGATGGACTGGACCTGTTGGCAGTTTGATTCCTGATTGAATCGGTGCGACTGGCCAATTGATAACAATGAGGAAATCACCATTCTCCATCTTCGAAAGGCAATTACGGGCACAAGTGATCACGGGTTTCTGTTACTATCTCAAAACAGAGTCTAAATTTTCAAAAGAGGAAGAGCTGAAAAACAGAGAAGAGAGAAAGAGAAAGAATACTTCTATTTTGATTTACTGAATCACAAATAAACAAGGAGAGAATTTTAATTCTAAGGGTTTTCTCCTTTTATGATAGAACGAAAAACACAGACAATTAATGGTGAAACAGATAAGGCAAGGAAAAGATAAGAACAAACTAATCCAACCCAAAAGAATTAAGCTGACCTACAGGAACATGACAGTAGGATAAGAGAAGATTGGGGATAAAGGACACACCTTTGCAAAAGGGAAGAAGAGAAAAACTGAAGCAGTTAATCTAGTCAATTTCAGAATCAAGTACCATCGATACAGTTAGTTACCTGAAGTCTTGTGGATGGGTGTTCCTTAACACAGTCCCTTACCCATTTTATTGTCAATGGCAACGAAGGTATTACTGCACTGCGCACAAAATGATCATGGGAAGGGCAGCCATTTGAAGCATTATCATAAAGAAATTCATAAGGTGGTAAGATCTTGCCATCTTTCTCAAAATCCTTTTCAAGCATAGTGGTCATTTCTGCAAATAAGCAATATAATGCACAGGTCAGAGAAGAACTTCAAGCTTTGCCGCTAATATTTGGTCCTCTGGGACAGCATCATCGCATGAAAATAAGGAATTCAGCTTTGGGCTTACGAAATAATTTCATCAGACTATCCGCAGTAATTACATTTATCTTTATCTCAACATAATCCAAAGCCTAATAATTTTGCAGAACTTAGTGACAGCAGTGTTGGTTGTTAAATTTTAAAAGAGTTCCACAAATATCTCAATATCTCATCTTTTGGCTGAATTTGCAAAGGAAAAATTTCCACTTTGTTCACAAGATAATAACAGAAGGAAGACCAACACTGTAATCGAATAGATTTACTCTTTAAACTCTAACAATACATATTTCAACTGACAATATCAGGGCAAAAATATATTGATCATAATAAAAAATTCTCCTGGATGCATGCCAGCATGATAAAGCACCTGAAATTTTGGTATTTTTCTGAAAACAAAGCTCTACTTTTATGTCAAATAAACTTATAGTCCAACAGGTTAGTATATTCCATCATCCATGGCACACCTAAACAAAAGAAAAAAAGAAGAAAAGAGTTGAGCCTCTTCAAATCTTCCAAAGAATATGGTGACAACAAACAACCAAAATTCATATATCTGACCGATTTACTGCCCCGTGATGCTGAAAGATACATTTACTATATGAAAAGCAATGTGACCGAGACAAGCTCAATACTATGAAGTCTCTATAGTGAGAAAGAAAAAATTACAAGCCGAAAAGATGGAGCATACCTTTCCCATGCATAATCTTCTCCCAAATTCTTTGGAGGTTGAACTGCCATGATAGGTCAATGCCACGGAGATCAGAGGGAATAACTGATGCACCAGAAGTAACCTTAGTATACTTTGACATACTCGGGACAAAAAGTGCCCCTGAGAAATGAATACCTAAGCAAGGTTTCAACACATTCTGAATGCATTAGTACAATGCAACACATAGAGATGCACAAAAAATTCTCAGATAGCAAAATAAGAAAATATATAGAAAAGCTTGGACCTCATTCGTTTTATTTTTAATATTTCTTCCAATAGATTATCTAATCACAATAGACCATTTCATGTAGAATACATATTGCAAACACATTTCTCCACCATATGTCAAGAGGGCCAACTTACTTAACTCATGCTAGAAGATTAAATATGCTATCTAATTAATTCTTAAATCCAGGTAAAGTCATGTGTAATAAAAATAGTTTTTATTTTTTTTAGTAGAAATTGAAAATAACAGATTATCAGGTGCTTTTGAAACAGGAATACCTGAAGAAGCACATGTATTCACTAGCCGAGGAAGTAAAATTTGAGGACTTCTCACATCTAAGCAATTGAATAGAAGAATCTACAATTAATCAATGCTGAATATCAGGAGGCAATTAATAATGAAATGGAAGATGCAAAGAAATTCATCTGGTATTTTGTCAGATTCAAGAATTTTCAGCAACAATTAATTATAAAAACAACCCAAAGCAGATAGTGTTAAGGATTGCATTGATATAGTTGAGTTGAGAGACACACCCCTACCTAGTATGTACTTGAAAATGGGGAAAGAAGCATCCAAGAAAAGATTACTATGTTATCACAACAAAATTGGTTAAGCTCCAGTTACAGCTGGAAAATTATTTTAAGAATACTTACCCGCCTAAAAGATTTCTCAAATTGCCCCAAGCTCTTGCTTTCTTGTAGGATATGACCATTTTCTGAAGATTCCTCTGCATTTTCTACACAAGAAGATGAAAGAGATGGAGTTTTATATCCGCTTACTGCAGTAGAGAACCACTTTGCACAAGCCTCCATGCTTTCTGGACTATGAGCTCCATCCAAATAAAATATCAACTCTCCACAATTTTTGGACACGGTTTCTGAGCTGTCAGATTTTGGAGAAGAGTCATAAACAATCTGAGCCCTCCCAGAAAAATGAGCAGTTGAAAGGCCTCTAATAAATTCATCTGGCAAATAAGAATTCTGAAAATCCTATTATACAGTGAAAAAAGTTAGGAAAAATAGGTATATAATGAAGACAAATATATCCTTGATACAAGATCATCAAACAATTAAAAAAGGGTAGTTTGACTATTCTTAAAGTGGAAAAAAAGCAATTACTAAACACAAACACACATAACGTGGAAAAAAAAAATTACTGGCTAATGCATTCAAAAGTATTAAAATCTGACTGTCATCTGTGTGTCTAGAAAAAAATAAAGCACACCAACAAGGGACCCATTTTGAAATTCTCATACAGATCACATAATTGCTGATATCATAATCATTGCTAGTACATGATAGATTCCAAAGAATCACGATGGCGTTGCACAAATATTTACTCAGATGCATCCATGAGCCAAGAGTAGAATTTTAACTAACATTTTGAAAAACAATTTCCCAGTTTCCTGTTTTCTGCAGCCAGCATCTAGAAAGTGAGATTGCAAGAGCAGCATTATAGAACTGGTGATCACCAGATAAACGAAGCTTTAATCCCTTCAATTGTTTACAATCAATAGGTTCACAGACTTCCAGCGGAACCTGCAGCCATTGAAAATAGGCAAACAATTAATGGTATTAACAATAAAGAGGCTCATTTGCTCGTGTGAGATTTTACACGTTCGTGCATGCTTGTATGCTTGCTGACCTATTTCCTACTAAATCATAGTTCTCAAATAAAGGAACTACTTGGTTACATAAAACTGGAAGGCTAATAAAGGTAATTCCAGACAGTCAAACCACACCTAATTATATGGTTTCATTAAAAGTTAAGTTTTTAATTTATATATGGGAAAAGTTCATAAACCCCTCTATGATTTACTCTTTTATCACTTACACCCCTATGCTTTTTTTCTTATCAATTACCCCACTATGGTTTTTTTCCATCCAAGTTCCCCTTTAACACCATTAGTAATTGAACTAACTTAACCATTTTACCCCTATTTTACTTGTTAATTAATCTGATATAAAAATGTTGGGCACGTAAATAAGTGAAGTTTAGGTTCATTATAAAGACACGAAAAACGATCAGGTGTCCTATCCCTTTCAAAGATTTCAGAAAATGAACAGAACATAACAAAATAATTTACACATCACTTATATTATTTTCTTATAATTTTATACTACATTTTTAGGTAATAATAATATATATATATACATATTATATTTCAACATTTTTTCTATTTTTGAATATAAAAAAGTATAAGAAATCAAATAAAAAATATGGTGTATAGGAATCGTTTCTCGTAATATAATACTAAGGGAAAAAAATATTTAATGTTACTTTAGATAACTTTGTCTAATGTTCATTGAAACGACGTCGTTTTGGGGTTGAAAAATAAAAAAATTAGAATGATAAAGACTATTATAACCCTGAAATAAATTAAAATTACAAAAATACCATGATTTCCGCCCCAAAACGACGTCGTTTCGGTGAACATTAGATAAAGTTATCTAAAGTAACTTCAGAAAAACAAACCCTAATACTAATATTAAATTGTATAGATAATGCTCTTTGGCTGCTTTTTTTTGTAGTTAATGTGATTTCCTTCATTTTGTGACATCTAGCTATAAATTGCCTCCAGTGAATTTTTTCTAGTCCCCCTTTCGACAACTATTCTTCTCCCATCTATTACGTGTTGTTTTTTCTAGTCATAATCAAGTAAACTTTGCCACCATTTTTGTTTTTAGGGTTAGATTTTATTTTTGATAAACAAAACTCCAAACATAAAATAAGGGTAAATGGACAAGTTAGTTTTATTACTAACAGTATTAAAGATGGATTTGGATGAAAAAAAACCACGCGGGGTAATTGATAAGAAAAAAAACATAGGGGTGTAAGTGATAAAAAAAAGTAAACCTAAGGGGGTTTATGAACTTTTCCCTTTATTTATTAACTAAAGACTCAATCTGCAAATTAATTAGATTAATAAAAGCTTGTCCTTCAAAACTAAGTTTCCCATATGAATGAAAACATCATTTGGTCCTGAATTTATTTATAATCTCACATTCGTAAACAAAGTATCAAAATAAATACAGTGACAGACCAAGCTGAGATTCAGATCAGATTTAATACAGTAACTAGAAATTTGATGTTTTAGGGTTTCCAGTAATATTTTGACGAACAACATCTTGAGTCAGGGCGAGCTTAAGAGCTTTTGACCATACAAACTCTAGATCCGTTTTTCTCAATTTAAAAAAATTGGTATTGATAAGAGACAACTTTGCAATGCTCTTCCTAAGGCAATTTATAATAGTTGATGGTATCGAGAACAATGATTACCATGAGTTCTTTGGCCCTCTCAAGGATAACATCCATTGCTTCAGGAGGTTGGGGTACTGTGAAGGCAGGAACTTTAGGCTTCAGGAACAGGGAAAACATTAAAATTCTACAGAGGATAAGGAAAAAAAAAAGGAGGGGATGGGCTTCCAATTCAAATAATAATTAGAACAAAAGTACTACAACAAGTAGTCTATCCATAGAAACCAATTTTCATGTTTGGATGCACAAGTAGAATTTTCATACCTTAAAAATCCCTGCCTTGTGCGAAGCTATCAGCCCAAGAGTATCTCCTGCATAATTTTAAAAAATTCTAAATATGTCTTTGGCATGTTGTGGTCAATTGCTGCTGTTGAAGAAAAACCACAGAAATTGAAGTATATAATGAGAGTTTACTTAGATGATTGACAGCACATTGCCAATGCAGGAACATGTCAAGCTCTTTCTGAGTAAATTAAATGCAAAAACACCAGAAAAAACGTTTAGGCAGTAGGAGACATACACACCCAATATCTCAGTATGATCCATCCCAAGAGAAGTAATGCCGCACACAGTAGGTTCTTTAATCTGCTAAGTTCAAATGATACAGTCATACGCAATTATTCTGACACTAGCATATCCACAATTTATTAAAGGATTAAAGAAAAGGTAACAATTTCTTTAATCAATTTGCATCTATTAGCTCAAGAAAACATTTTAAACCACAATTGTCGTAAACAACAGAAGTTTAAAGAAATAAATCTCAGTGATACCCTACATCAAATGCATACCACATTTGTTGAGTCTTCTTTGCCTCCAAGACCAACTTCTAGAATGGCAGCATCAACCTATGAATGGGAACCATTTTAATAAAATATTAGTAGTGAAGGGAAAAGTAGGTAAAATAAGAAGAATATAGTAAGCATTTAAACTGCAAGTAGAAGTCAAAAAATTTGTATGATCTAGCAGCATATTATACTTAACTAAAAGTAGCAGCATATGAAAAGTAAAGGGTTGAGTTAGGATTACTGAATTAAAATATAATAATTTATCAAGATGCAGATACACATGTAAGAACAAAAGAACATCATTATGATCGAAAAAAATAGAATACTTGCATTATTTCATCTAAAATGATTAGCAAAAGATGAAGAAAATTGTTTGGCTTCACAATAACCTCATTTTCAGATAAAAGTAACAAATGCTAGAAATAAATAGCAGCAGAATCCATCCATGTAGAGAAAGAAAAAATTCCTTATAATTAAACAAAAAATTCTCACTGAATTGTGTTCTTTTGTTTTGTATTTTCTTGAATAGTTTGTAAGGTTACTACAAGCAGTAAAAATACGTGATATCTCCTTTATGGAAACAACATTTATCAAAGAAGGAAACAGTTGTTCGGCAAAGGATTATACAAAACCGGAAAAAAGTTGGTTCATACTTCATAGCAGAGTACAAAAAAGCATGCTGCAGGGAGAGAAAGATAATTATGTATAGTAGCAATGACATAAGAAATTTCTTATAATCTAGAAAGCTTTGGCAAACTGGTTTGAGTTCGTACTGCATTATTCTGGAAAAAATTAATTAGCACCTCCAAAACAAATACAGTTAAAGGAATTTTGTAAACATCATTGGCTGGTGGACTATGAGAATTTGATCCTGGAAATGACAAGTTCATCACATCAAATCTTCCGCAATGGCTACTGCAAAGAGGGATCTATAGCTTTTTTGCAAGGATAATATGTTAAGAAACTCAAATACATGGCTTGCCTTTTCAGATATAAATATTTTGAAGGCCAATATAGTAAGAAACTGAAACAATGGGGGCATTGGAAGCTGCTCTGTTGTATTTTCCTGCAAAATTAAGCTTCAGGAATTTAGAAACTGCCACCAGAAGAATTCAATATAAATGGATACTATATTCATGTTACATTGCTTCTTCTAACAACGGTTTCACATCAGGAAAATAAATATTTAATGATCTGAAAATTGAAATATACTCTATGAAGGTTACAACAATTAGGATATATTTCCTGATTTATGAGAATCAATTAGGATTAGTTTCTGTTTCTTCTTAATTAGGACGGATTTAGTAATTATCGTGTTTCTTGTTTTTAACAAATAGGTTACCAGTATATTGTAACCTCTCTCCTCTCATTGTTGAAAATCAAGTCAATACAAAACAGTATTCACAAATCCTCATGTAATGTTCAGTCAATCTTGTAAAACGGCTTATTACAAGAATTTCCACTTTGAAACTAGGAACAATTTATGAACAATAAATAGCCATGAAGCTTGTTAAGAATTACAATTTTATCTTTTCAATCACAGATCTTTCTCCCAATTGATCTACAAGACTAAATTTGTTGAAGGTATTTAGAAGATCCAAAGGGAATAAAGAACAGGTATGTGATAGACCACCTGTACTAAGGTGTACAATAGCAAGGAAGCAAATAGCAGCAATGGATTAGAGGCTGTTATGAATAGTGTACGAGGGAAGTATGATCAGCACATTGTCAGGTGCATCATAACAACCAGCCCACAAGCCAGGTGGGGCAGGAAACAAATTTGGAAAGTGGGATAGGATAAAGGAGAAGAGAGGAGAGGAGACAGGTAGGAAAATTGTGAGGCTCAGGAAGGGAGGAAGGCACTTAAAGTGCTTGCAGTGTTTCTACATTTATTTCCTTTTCTGTTTTCTTGAGAGTTTTCCTCTGCTCTTGTACAAATCCCTATCTGAGATGATATCTTCTCAATATCAGCCATTTAGAAGGGATTTTAGCCATTTTCTTTCATTAAAAGTGTGCTCTATTTTTTAGTACCTATCAGTAACTAGTCACACCGTCAATAGGCAATAGCCAACAATACTCTAACAACAGCCAATTCTTCTATTCAGTTTCAAGAACGAACAATGATGCTGCTCAAAGCAATGTTTGGATGTGAGAAATACATATTAGGAAAATAAAGTCCAAAAGAATCTCTAAAAAATGCAATACATAATACCTCCAATTGGTTCCAACAATCCCAGAAATACTGTAAAAACTTATCTTCAGATATGTCAATCCTACAGCAATAATAACAATTCAGAAGTTAATGCTATCGAAATTGACAAAATTAGTGCAAAGAGCATGAATTTCAGCTACAGCTAATTGCTCTGTTGTACAAAGTACAAACATAATAAAGTTGGCACTAATTAGTTTTCATATAAGCATCCCCTGAAATCCATTTGCAAATCTTTATTTTCTAATCTAGCCCTGCTTTTCAGAAGGAAAACATCATCGCTTTTCATCAAAAAAACAGGCAGCCCTAATTTCTTCATCTGTTTGAACTTACAACTAGGGGAAGGGTTTATTAACATGATAATGTGAAGTGTGCAGGCCAAGAATGTTCAGAGATGCTCATATGGACTACCCCTTCAACTCTTCATGGACTAAAAGGCACAGTTTTTCCTCATGAAGCTTTGTGAACATTAATAATGGAAATATTTTACTATTAAGCAGTCTGTCAATACAGTTATGTTCAAAAGATATTATTATAACACAGAAAAAAATAAGAATAGAACCTGATCAACTGAAGTCTAGATGTATTTCAGTCATCTGGGTTCATTGTTTTGAGAAACAAGTTTTGAAATGTTGTAATATTGTATACCAGCATATATCTGTGATGTACATTCATGCATTCAAGTGAAGATAAGATAAGAAGAGTGTGTGTGTGTTTGTGTGATGGAATGAGAGAGAGATGCATAAATGTGAATATATTAATGAAATGCTGATACGGTGTCTATATAAATGTTAAGATTAGCCATTATAGACAAGTTAGTCCATTCAACTACTAACCCATCTATACGAAACCGTTCACGCACGTCAATTAAGTGGGGGGATGTGAAAACTCCAGTCCGAAAGCCACACTCCCTTATGATTGCCTCACAGAATATGCATGTTGAGCCCTGAAGTAATCAATTAAAAAAATGGAAAGGAGAAAGAGAGAACCCGGGGGGGGGGGGGGGGGGGGGGATGCTGGATGAACATGAATGTATTGGCAACATATCTGTTGCAAGTTCAGAACAGAAAAAATAACCAAACGTAATAGAATGCAAGAAGAAGAGGAATGATGATAGAGAAAATGAATTTTTATTGATTAGCAATCTATGAGTATAAGAGTAAAGCTCTTACAAGGGAGCAATTCCCTTCACATTGAGTCAATACTCTGATACAAAATTTGGGAGAAACTCACCCCGAAAGCTAACTCGTAAGGTAAGAGAGCCCAAAGTCCATATAAACCCCACATTAGAACCCAATGTTTCTGATGTAGGACTCCATCTCTCATACCTTGCAATTGGATCGTAACATACTCATTCAATGAGAATTTTCTAGATGATCGCCAAACACCCCCTTCGACCGACTATTTATACTGCTGACTATTTACTAATACTCATAATACCCACCACGCAACTAACTATCTTTGTTTCTTTGTGGAACTACGGGAATACACCCTCCAAACCTTTGGAGAATGCTCTGTTACATTAACACCTGTAACAATAACCTCTTTATTTCAACCATCTTAACATGAGCACCAACTCTTTTTATGGATATAATATAATGTTTGTAATAATATTTAGTTCTTGAATCTTGAAGCGAAGAACAAAAATTGAATTTTCAACAAACGGAAGATAATTGACAAAATTAATCAAGAAAACATGACAAATTATGAAATGAGTACCTTCCCCTTTGTGCCTGCCACATGAATGATACTGAGCCTATTTATGTCTTCTTCCAAATCCAGTATCTGTATAGAAAACATGTATTATATTTTTCACTATTCAAAGAAGTCACCTGAGGCTCTAAGCCCTCGGAAATATGATAAGAATCAGATGATTCAAGAAACATTTTCAGCTACTAGAAGGGTATTAGGAATATGGTTCCTAATGTGACGAAGAACAGAACAAGTGAAAGGAAAATTCTGGTTTATTATTCAATGCATGCAAAGTCTTGCTATATGTATAACATCTGTCTTTTAACCTCCCTGTTATTATGACACCTGTCCCTTAGCTCCTAACTATCCTAACAGCTGTCTAACCAACTAATTACAACATATGATCCTATGCTACAAAGTTATCCAACCGAGTGGAGCTTCTCCTAATTCCATGAGACTTCCGCACCGTAACATTCCCTCCTCCTTGACAAGGAACCTTGTCCTCAAGGTTCAGGTATGGGTAAGCACACAACAACTGATCTTCAGGTTCCCAAGATGCATCTTCAGGAACAACATCAGACCATTGTATCAGAAATTCCCGTTTGTGCTGATCACCATCCTCAATACGTCTAACTGCTAAGACTGCCAAAGGATCCTAGATTGGTTTGTTATCCGTAGCAGCTAATGGTAAGGAAGTACCCAATGATGTAGCTGATCCTTTGAAGGGTTTCAATAAAGAAACGTGAAATACAGGATGTACCTGACACCCTTGAGGCAACTCCAACTGATAAGCTACAGGTCCAAGAACCTTAGAAACAGGAAATGGGCCAAGGAATCTTCGAGCTAGCTTATGATTGGAACGTCTGGCTACTGACACCTAGCGATAAGGTTGTAACTTGACCAGCACCTGATCTCCCACAACAAATGACCTGTCCTTGTAACTCTTATCATGTTAAACCTTCATTCGGTTCCTAGCACGTTCCAGTTGCACTTTTAACTCAGTGAGCACCTCATTTCGTTGCTGCAACTGAGAATCGATAGCCTCCAGCTTGACTAAACCCTTAGGATAAAAGGGAATCATCAAAGGTGGCTTGCCAAACACCGCCTGATATGGGGTGATGCCAATTGAGGAATGGACTGCTGATTATAGTGAAATTGAGCCCAACAGAGAAAACTGGACCAAGAATGAGGACGATCGAGACAAAAGGAGCGTAAGAATTGTTCCAAATATCGATTGGTTACCTCCGTTTGGCCATCCGTCTGTGGATGGTAAGAAGATGATGTCCTGAGTTTGGTGCCACTCAAGGTGAATAGTTGAGTCCAAAAATGGCTTAAAAATATACTGTCACGATCAGAGAGAATAGAGCGAGGGAAACCATGATTTCTCACTATCAAATCACAAAATAAAGCTGCTACTGATGCAGCTATATAATGGGTAGGAAAGCCACCAAAATAGGCAAACTTGGAAAGCCGATCAATAACTACCATAATAGTTGTGAAATTTTTAGACGAAGGCAAACCAGAAATGAAGTCCATGGTTAATTCTTCAAAGACACCTTCTGGAACAGGCAAAGGTTGAAGAAGCCCTGAAGCCTTTGTAGTCTCAAGTTTTACCTGTTGGCAGATGGCATATTCACTGACCATTTTCTTGACATCCTTTCTCATAGATTGCCAATAAAAGGTGGAGGACAATCTCATAAAAGTGCGTAGTACACCCGCGTGACCCCTAATGGGAGAGCAGTGAGCTTCATGAATCAGATGTGGAATAAGAGATGAAGATGGACTCAAGAGATACCTGTTTCTATGGAACAGGATCCCTCCCCTAACTGATATCTCCTTATCAACAATGGTATTATCACAAACCTGTTGAAGTAGCTGCAACAAGTAAGGATCAGTTTGGTTTAATCGTTGTATATATGTCACAATATCAAAAGAGGGTAGGGAAAGAATAGCATGAAAAGATCCTTCCTCATAAACCCGTGAGAGTGCATCAGCAACAACATTGGAACGCCCAACGTTGTACTCAATTTTAAAACTATACCCTATGAGTTTACTCAAGTATTTCTGCTGTTCTGAAGTGTGTATGGTTTGAGTCAAAATTTCTTTAATACTTTGATGATCAATTCAAATGGTGAAATCCGAACCTAGCAAATATTGCCTCCAGCGTTTGACAACAGTTGTAATGGAAAATAGTTCACGTACGTAAGTGGAAGCATTTGACATCCGGATACCCAACTTCCTGCTGAAAAATGACAGAGGCTTGTCATTCTGCATCAGCACTGCACCAATTCCAGTGTTAGAAGCATCTATTTCGATTATAAATCTTTGTGCAAAATCAAGAAAAGCTAGGATAGGTGTAGAAGTCATGGTCTTCTTGAGGATCTGGAAGGCCTCCATGGCAGCTTCAGACAAGCAAAAAACCTCAGATCCTTTGAGCAAATCTGTCAAGGGTAATGCTAAGGATGCATACCCCTTCACAAACCTACGGTAGTACCCTGTTAAGCCAAGGAAACCACGAAGTTGTTTTAGATTCTTAGGTACTGGCCACTGCAACATGGCATCAATCTTCCTTGGATCAGCAAAGACACCTTCCTTGGAAATCACATGTCCCAAGTAATCAACAATATCCACCCCAAAAGTACACTTACTAGCCTTCACAAAGAATTGATTCTGATGTAGGCACTCTAAAGCTAATGCCACATGGTTAACATGCTCCAATAAGGACCTGCTAAAAATCAGAATGTCATAAAAAAAAACAATTATAAATTGTCGAAGGTAAGGCTTGAAAATGTGATTCATGACAGCCTGAAACGTGGCTGGTGCGTTGGTTAAGCCAAAAGGCATAACGAGGAACTCGTAATGACCTTCATGAGTCCTAAAGGCTGTTTTTGGCACATCAGCAGGCAACATCCGGATTTGATGGTAACCGGCTCGTAAATCTAGCTTGGAATATATGGAAGAGCCTCCCAATTCATCTAATAACTCGTCAATTGTAGGTATTGGAAACCTATCTTTGATGGTAGCTGCATTTAAGGCCCTATAATCAATACAAAGCCTCCATGTGTTATCTTGCTTCCGGACTAAGAGAACCGGAGATGAATATGGGCTCTGTGAATGTTGAATAAATCCTGTTTTGAGCAAAGCAGCAACCTGATGTTCTATTTCTGTCTTTTGGGCATAAGCATAACGGTAAGGCTTCACATTTATTATAGGTTTGTTGTTATCCAGCAGGTGAATTGAATGGTCCCATCCACGAAAAGGAGGAAGGACAGAAGGAATAGCAAAGACCTCTTGATGTTGTAGAATGACCTGCCATAGATGTGGATGGATCTTGTTTTCTAGAGATGCAACTTCAGAGTCTATGTTGAGTTGGTGGGATGGCTCAGTCGAGAGTTGCATGGAACAACAAGTAGCACAATCAACCTGAACACAATTTAGTATAGAATCTGCCATAGATTTCGGTTGCAATCCTTGCAACAAAATATCACATCCTTGCCAAGTAAACTCCATGGTTAGTTTGCTGTAATCATGAGTAACTCTACCCAGTAATTCAAGCCATGGCATGCCAAGCACCACATTAAGCTCAGCTAATTCAATTACCCAAAAATCAACTAGAAAAACAATATCTTGTAATTGAATAGGAACTTGCAGGCACCTTCGGTCAGAGAGGAGACATTCACCATTTCCTAAGAAAACTCTTAGCTTGTGTGTGCGTGTCATAGGCAGATGAAGTTGCAATGCTAAACTTTTCTGCAAAAAATTGTGGGTGCTTCCTGAATCTACCAAAACTGAGACAGAATTACCTCCCAAGTTTGTCAGAAATGTCAAGGCATGTTAATGCTCTTTCGCACATAAAGAATGCTAGAAGGCATCATTTGGTATAGAAGTAGGTTGTTTAGGTGGCCAAAGAATCTGTTCTTCATCAGGATCTGGCTCCAAGCATTCTTCCTCACCTATCAGCAGCATAAACTTGCCTTTGCATCTATGTTGCTTAGTCCACTTCTCATCGCAGGTATAGCACTGACCCAATTCCCTCTTTTTTGCCAAATCAGCGTGGGAGAAACGCTTGATGTTTGCGTTAGATGGTAGAGCCAAAGGTTGACTGTGGTTAACAAGAGGAACGGAGTGAGGGGTATTTTCCAAAGCAATTGGGGTGCGAGGAACAAATTTCTTCTGGACACCAGAAAAAGATGCTCTCAATTCCACATGGTGATCATCATAAGCCATAGACAATTGAACAGCCTGATGAAGGGTAGTGGGTGTCCTCAATTGTACTGCGCTTCTCAATTCCGATTGCAAACCCGATATGAAGAAATTCATCAGCAGGTCATCATCCAATTCTGGAACTTGGTTAACCAATGACTCGAAGCGTTGAACATAATCTCTAAGCGTTGACATCTGGGTTAATTTGGAAAGTGTGCCCTTCAAATTAACAAAGGTTGATGTACCGAATCTTTGACGCAAGGCTATCGTGAATGTTGTCCAAGTGTTCATCGTACCACCCTTATACATCCATTGGAACCATGTCATTGCCATGCCTTCCATTCGAATTCCAGCCAGAGGAATTTTGGAATCTTCGGGAATGTGTTGTAGATGAAAGAATAGCTCAGCCTTAAAAATTCAGACATTTGGCTCTGTGCCATTAAAAATGGGTATCTCCATACGTACCCCCTTGAGTAATGAACGATGCTTAAACATGTTGTTCGAGTTCGTGTGGGGCTGCGAAGACGTTGATTCATTGTGAAACACTGGTGGAACTGGCGGAGAATTCCTTTCCGGTGGTGGTCGTGCTAAGAATGCCTCTTGGATCTGCTGCATTTGGGTGACCAGCAAGGATATCTGGCTTTGGGTATCGGTAGCTTGAAGACGAATCTCAGTAATGTTGTTGTCCATGTGCTGTTGGATGAAGTGACTTCCTCTGCCAACTCCTGAATCCTCATTGTTGATCGATATGAATCTTCAAGCGTGGGTGGTTCAAGATGAAAGCACCAATATTAGGAATATGGTTCCTAATGTGACGAAGAACAGAACAAGTGAAAGGAAAATTCTGGTTTATTATTCAATGCATGCAAAAACAATTGTGTCTTGCTATATGTATAACATCTGTCTTTTAACCTCCCTATTGCTATGACACCTGTCCCTTAGCTCCTAACAGCTGTCTAACCAACTAATTACAACATATGATCCTATGCTACAAAGTTATCCAACCGAGTGGAGCTTCTCCTAATTCTATGAGACTTCCGCACCGTAACAAAGGGGCTCCTAGGAATTTGAACATTTTATTTTCCCTAATTTGTAAAATGCATACAAAATTTCAAGCCTGATGATTTCCAATATCATAACCCATTTCTGTTTTGTTCTATTTTCTTCCTTGAACACAAACGTGGGCATATCGATTGGGAGAAAATTAGATTACACCTCTGAAACTAACCAAGAAAAAACTATGCCACAACCAATCATAAGGTATAATTACATAGTATTATCTGTCATCAGTCATCACTATGACTTCAAAACTCTGAGAAAATAGAACCATTACCTTAAGATACATCGACATCCTTTCTAATTTGTTAGGGACCGGTGGCTTCTCCCCACGCCTTTGGCGAGTAATAAGAGATGAAAGTTTTTCCATGGCCATTTCATATGACGACAATGGACAATTTTGCAGTTGTCCATTGGTGACGACATTGCTTCCTTTTTCAAAAAGAGCTTCAGATGACATCTTATATACAAATCCTAAAACATCAAGCCATAAAAGACTTTCAGAAACTCAAGCTTAAGCTTTTGCATGCAGTGCAGTGTCACACAAGCACCAATTTCCACACTTTCTAGATTGATTAAATCTCGGAAAACAAACAAGAGAAAGTTTGTGCAAGTTTGCACCACATGATGAAAACTGAAAAGCAATTAATATTTGAAATTGAATAAAAAACGGCGAATCTCAGTGCACAAAACTCCTCGACTTTGCGAGAGTATGGGTGATAGTCGATTGTACTCGGGCTTACCTTTGCATTATGCAAAGACACATTTTTTCATATTTGAACCCGTGACCTTGCGGTCACAAAGGAGCATCCTTACGGCTGCTCCAAGGCTCACCTCCTTTAATATTTTATCGAATAATAAAAAATAATTGATAACTAAAATGCCAGTGCAGTGCACGATTTTAAAAGAAAATAAAGGCAACATGCATATATCTTATAACACATTATGGTAGAACAAGAAAATGGGATAAAGACACTTCTAGTAATTCACTTGGAACAAGAGCTTACTTTTTCCATTGAGGTTATGTATGCTTGTAAATGCAGGTAAACGAGTAGAAGTCCATTTTGTGGATTTCATATGCCGCCGGGGCAAATCTGAAATTCCAATCATACCACACTTTGGGTAGATGTTGGTACTAGTTATCCTCAACATATCAACCCTAAAATGCAAACATCACCCAAAATCAAAAGCTACAGGCATAGAGTAAACACATGAAGCCATTCTGGTTGGGAAATAAAAAAGTGAATTACAAAGTGAAACATCCTTGTGATACACTATATTATTTTCCCTCGTTTTTACCCATTAACTTCATATATTGTTACCTAAGTTAGGGTAGTAACCATATCCTGATTTTATTACAAACCTTATATTCACTTATAACAATAACCAAAGAATAAGATTTAGGAGCAAATCCAATCCATCACTTATTCTATGCTAGGAACAATTATTCATTTAAAACGAAATGATTTAAAAATAAAATAAAATCGAAATTGTTGGGATTTGAAAATCATGAATGAAACAGGTACGTATTGAAGAGATTATATAATTTCATAAAAACTGAGATACATTTCAAAGAAACAGCTACGTATTGAAGGTAGGAGAGAGAGAGAGAGAGAGAGAGAGAGAGAGAGAGAGAGAGAGAGAGAGAGGGCCCACAGTGAGAAGAAGAGGGAAGGGAAAAAAAGCCATAATCTGAATGAAAGGTTGGTGGTGGATGCGACACTATGGATGGAATAGAAATATATATCGTTGGTAAGTCGTACTAGCGGCAATGGCTCAACGCCTCAACTCAAGTAGTCACTAGTACAAAATTGGGTTCATTCACGCATTTTGGATTGGACCTCTTCCTTTTCGGGCCGGGTTCTTGTGAATTTTGCTAGAGATATATGAAAAAAAATAGAGTAAATACTCTTTTTGGTCTTCAGCAAATTTTACGATACCCTCTTTAATACTTAGTAAATAAAAAGGTTCATAGTGATCTCTAAGAAATTCAAAATGGACCCATTTTAGCCCTTTTAAGAACTAATATGGATCTTTTTTGAATTTGTGAGGACCACGATTTCAACTAAATGGGTTAATTTTAAATTTTTTAGGGACTACGATGGGCCTTTTTATTTGCTAGGGACTAGAACGGGCACCGTGAAATTTACTGAGAACCAAGAAGAGTATTTACTCAAAAAAATATTTGATCTCTTAAAGAATAATTATTTTAATTGAAATTATAATTATTTAATTCAAATTTAAATTAAAAAAAATTCTCATTTTTTGCTTAAAAATTTTCATTTAATTAAAATTCTCATAACCATACAAAGATGAAAATAAATATAACCGTTGGATCAACATAATCGATCTAACGGTGAGATTGATTGTTGTTATAATATCTTTTCCCTATATTTATTTCATTTTAGTCTTATTTCTGTTAGTCTGTTACTATCTAATTCATTATTGTTGGATTAATTTAAAATCAACGATAGTTAATTTTTTTTTTATTTTTTTAACTGTTGATTTCAAATTGATCTAATGGTAATTAATCAGATAGTAACAGTAGTAAAGCTTAAATAGTAATAAATATAACCGCGAACTAAAAACATACAGGGATTTGTTTTTTTTAAAGGGTTCATGGTTTCTCCATCAAAAGTAAAGTTATCTCTATTAACCTCAAAAATACATTGTTTTGAGAATTTGAGGAATTAACGAATATTATTTTAATAAAATTCATATAACAAATAAAATTTTCAAAACATCCTTCATTAATTCTCTCAGCTTTCAAAACAACGTAATCTTTTCTAGATTATAAAATAAGAATGGATTTAATTTTAAAATCGTTTTGTTTTAAGATGTTTCTATGTAAATATCTGCTCATATCACAAATTTATGTACTTTTATCTTTACATATAATTAGGGTATAAATAGACTGATTTGGATTAAATTTTAATCTAAATAAAATTTGTAAATTTTGAGCGTACCCTAATCTCTTCACATAATATAAATTAAATTATACGTCTGTTGAAGAAATAAAAAATTTGACCTTGCCCATTAAGCAATCAAGTTTATTAGGCCTTCGAGGTCTATCTAGAATAAAAAAAATAACTACAAAAATAGAATTTTATTATTTGACACTATTTAAATAATTATTTATTTTACTTTATTTATAATAAATAATATAAACTTAAATAAGCATATGATCAATTTTTTAAGCTTAACTTCATTATATTTTACTAAATATAATAAATTAGATCATAAGTCGTGGAATTTATTTACACCTGCACATATAACTTACCAATGTGGTCTAGTAGCCAATCCCCGAAACATGCCATCAGATAAATATTGAAATTTTGGTTGTGTAATGGAGAGGGCATACATACCATCACCATAGGAATAAGACACTTTTATTTTCTTAACTCTTATCCATCGAGGATATACTGAGAGACACAAATCCTATCACTCTTTTTCTTTTCTTTTTTAAATCATAAATATCTTTTACGAAAGGCAATTCTTTGTGAGAGATAATCATGTTCAAGCGGTGAACATCCATATTATGATAGGGCTAACTCGTTTAAAAAAAAATTACATTTACAACAACTTAAATCCAAGACTTTAGTTAAGTGGAATCAAATATGTACCTTAAATCAATTCCCTTTCCTAAATCCCACCAATTTTCTTTCATATGAATATTGAGGCGAAGTATTCAACTACACATTTATCTCCCAGTTGCGTGTTCCACCTTATTTTTTCAATAAGTTGAATGCTAAAGTACTCGCAAATAATCACTACTTCATTGAAGTTGAAGATCATGGAGGAACTACCCTCAGCAACTTTCTATCACCTTAACGGAGAAGACTTAGAAGCAATACCTCAACATATCCATATACATTGGGAACAACCCATAATAATACAAGCTATTTGAAATTGAACTATTGACATAACCATCATAATTCAATATGAAAACTTTATTATTTCAGGATTAAGTTGGACTCAGTGGTCGAGTCATTTCAGCCAAAAAGTCATATTTGTTTAACAGAAAGCTACATTTATTGAAATTCCGTCCAAAGTGAGGTCCAAGATTTATCAAATTAACAAATAAGAAATCCCGAAAACTAGCTCATGTAGCAACTGAGCGTCCAAGGATTTGCTTGAGACAAGATTTGAAAAATCTTTGGAGATAAGATGACATACTCAAAAAAAAAGTAACAATAATTTTTTTTTTATAACACCCAATTAAAATATTATATTTTTAAAAATTTGCTTAAAACTTAATATTTTAAGCAATTAGAAGGATGATCTTAGGAACGGACCTAACAATTAGAGAAAACTAACAAAAGAGAAAGTAACATTTGTATTATTTCTTGCATAAGCCTTCTGTACAACACATTCCTCTTTAATACAGCAGTAATCAATACCCAAAAGTCACATGTCTACATCCTACTGACAACTATTAAACAAACTGACTTAACAACCATAACCAATTAACAACTAACTCAATAGAAACCCCTTTTAACAACTATACCATTTCCAACTCTAACAATTCGTATCAGATGAGGAAATATTTGTTAAAGATGATATAATATTACTTATACTTATATACCAAAAGCATATTTGTTCGTAAAACAAAAAGGATTTTCTAAATAATTTATACAAATATTTCGAAAATCGTTTAATGTTGGATCTGTTAAGAAAAACTAGCAGTTTGTCTGCAACCGAAGGGGGGAAAAACATTTTGATCCAATATTTAGAACTGAAGTTATGGAGAAAGTTATCCAATCCATGAGAAGTAAATTTTCTTTTCACTACCGATAATTAATCTCAGAATGACTTATATCACAGACCCAAAAAAAACCCCACTGAGTTCCAGACATAATTTCAACCGTTGAAATATGTTGTACCAAAAAAAAAAAATAGTTGAAATATGTGTTTGAGGATAGGAAACTCTGCCTATAAAATTGCCACACTTTTCCAAACAAAATAAGTGCACACAAGAATCAAGAAAAAAGCAAGCAAATACCTTGAATCTAATAAAATGTTCTTTACAGTGGCCTAGAGTTTATGGTCCTGTGCAACTCAATTGGGATCGAGAAATCTCAAGAATAAAATAAAACGTTCCTATAGGAAAAAATTAGAACTTCTCAGTTCTCACCTGATTTCAGCCAAATCCACCCGAAGAAATTTATGGAGTTTCTGGCTAAATTTAACAAGGAGCCAGCTTTCATGGTTAGCAACTTAACTTGAGTGTTGTATAAAACTTGTCATGAAAAATGCATCAGATTCTCAAATTACGTTTATAAGTGGAATGCTTTAAAAGTAGAGGCTATCCTTAATCCACATAAATCTAACTTGTTAACTGTTTTGATTAATATAAGAGTAATAACAATATCCTTTAAGCTCCATCATTCGCTTCCATATTTTTTTACTCTTTCCTCCCTTTTTCCTTCACTGTTCTCTATTCCCATGTCAGAGAAAATTGGAAAATCTGCTCTGAAAAGAACTTCTGTTCGACCCCTCACATTTAAAAAAGAAGCTTACCATCACTAATCAAGACCATTTAGATATGACTTAGCTTTGGGTAATAACCAGCAACTTTTTGTTCACTGAATGTACTAATTCCATGTGAATTAAATAATTTGGTTGCTGCACATGATTTTATCCTAGGAGCTTTGGTTAAGTTAGCTACAAATGCAAATGTCATCAACGATGACGAAAGAATATTTGAATGGTTTTGCATGGAGATCAACACTTGAAATGGAGAGTAAGATTCTTATTCTTACAAGGGAGTCAAAAGATCTTTTTCCATATATATATATATATATATATATATATATATATGAGGTAAGATCCTTTGACATCGGTGTCAAATTTGAAATTTGACACCTTATTTGAGAGCCTTTAGATAAAAAAAGATCAATGGTGTCACATGCTTACAAATCAGAGTCGTTGATCTTTTTTTATCTAACGACTCTCAGATGAGGTGTCGAATTTCAAATTTGATACCAGTGTCAAATGATCGATCCTACCTCTATATATATATATATATATATATATATATATATATAATTTAATGTTTCTCCTTTCACATGGGATAAAAGTTTTCTCTTATATAATCCCAAAACACCTTACATTTTTTTCTCCAAGATCCAAAATGACATTGTTCGTTTTGAGTCATAGAAGATAAACTTATCTCTTATAATAGGAGAAACATTTTTCCTATGTATATATAAATAATATATATAAAAAATTAAAATATGAGGCAATCTTAATATTATTACTTGTGATCATGTACATAGGTACAATTACTTTCCTAATTATTGAGCTAATTCTAGGAAAACAAATGAGGAGTAAATCATACCTATAATCTGTCAAATAATTTCCCTATAATCTTTCCTATCATAATCTGCCTAATAAAAAGGAAAATAAATCAAAAATACTTACACAATTGTATATTCATTATTTACAACATATATTTTTTAGAGAATAATGCTGTTGACATTTAACTCATCAACAAATATGTCAATACAGGCCAAATTGGATGAATTGCTACTCTATGTGTGTCGTACTTTTTTTTTTTTTCCCTCAGCACGATGGAATTGAAGTAAATCCTGAAATTTTGCAGGATTGAAAAATTGAAACTATGAAGTCTATCATGCTAAATAATCATAGGATAAGATTAAGAGGGGACAGGAAACATGGATTTAGACCTTATGACATGACCCTTGAATTAATATGAGCTGCAATAAGGGGTCCAATATTCCCATCCAAAACAGAATTTAGGTCTGGCACCTCAATGCCTGTCTTTACATCATGTACTAACTTGTATGGATGAGTGACATACCTCCTAGTTTCTTCTTGCCACAGATTGACAATGTCATCCTTCCTTATACTATTTATACTTGCAACTCCTTGTTCCCATGCTATCACCTGAAGTTTAGCTTTCAATCTGTTTAGTGCTTTCATCTTATTTGCAAAGTGGCTCCTCTCACCTCCATAAGGATAAAATAAAAAATAAAACATAGTTCAGTAGAATCCCCATTTTTAAGCTTCAAAAGATTTTTGAAAATGCTGAAGGGAAAAAGAAGTGGGTGGTTATTTAGTTCTATCAAATGAATGTCAGGGGATGTGGTTAGTAAGGAAATGATGAATGAACAAAAAAACTAATCAACTTCTTCCACACGCACTGGCTAGTGTTTTCCAGGTGTGAAATTAAAACAATTGCAAACTCGATTAATTTATGGCAAATTATTAAGAGGATGCCTGTTATAACTTATAACCTTTTCGTCTCTTTTGGCTGCCAAGTCAAACAATTTTTACAGACCTCAAACCTAAATCTCAACTTAAAACAAGAATTATGAATAGGCCTGAGAATTTACAACTTCTTATATCAAGTTATAATGGTGACATTCCAAGGTAGGGGATCAATGTCCTACTAAGCTTCTTAATATCTTTTCTACTTATGATTTATCATTAATACTCAATGGAAAAATAACAATTAGACTATCAGATAAAAGGGGCATGACATATGTGTGTATTTGAAATCTTGCAAGCAGACTATCACATCATCAACGGCCAATAATATTAGCACATCATTTGGAACATTGCAATTTTATTTGCAAATTCTGGCACATGATATTCAATGTATAATGGAAAGAATAAAGAAATTAGAAAATTAAAGAAACAACCATTTTAACACAAACATCAGCATACCAGAGGATTGGACACTTATGCAAGTAGGTAGATGCTGAATGCAAACTGCAAGCTCAGTTTGTCTCTTCTGTTCTCCATGAATCAAGGAAGATGAGATAATCAAATCCTCGGAATCAATTTCTAGATCACAAGCATTCTCTAGGAACATGGGAACAACATCTACAATTGCTGCGCTCACCTGCAAAATTTAAATTTTGCAAACAAAAATGTTTTCATCAAATTTCAATACTTTAGTTCAACAAAAACAACAAATAAAAGTAAGAAAAGATTACAGAAAAATAAATAATAATATATATATATAAATAAATAAATAAATGAAAACAGAGAAAAATTAAAAAATTAAAATTAATTATTTAACGAGAGAGTAGAAGAAGAAAAAAATAAAATTAATAAGCACAAATTTTATCCATCCACAATGCTACTAGCTTTCCTCCCCTCTGTCCTCAAAGAAACTGCACGTCAATCTATTTTGCACTCGATTAAATCTTGTTTTGCTACAAATCACCAAATAAGTTGTGCTGACCTTTTCCTTTCTTCTTGTCATGCTTTTGGTAACTAATTTCTTTTCTTACTTGAGCACTAAGGGTGTTTGGTAGAAGGAAAAATTTTAAAATCTTGGGAAAGTGAGATTGAGAATTCGATATATCTACGTTTGGTACGAGGATTGTAAATTTTTTTCAGGAAAAATCGGATTTCCTGAATTCATTTTTATGAAGAAAAATTATATCTTAAAATACCACCAAATGGATGGTATTTTGAGAATCCCATGTGATGAGAATATTTGATAATTACTTTGGGACATAATTAACCTTAATCCACATTTCCAGCAATATTTTACAATCAACAAAACATAACATCAAGAAAATTAACGCAACATTCCCGTGAATATTTTGGGCTACCAAACAACTTTTTTGTAACATTCTTGGGAAACTCACTTTTCCACCATATTCCTAGGAATCGTAATTCCCGGGTATTTTTCTTTTTCCCTCTACCAAACGCCCCCTTATCCTAAACTATCTCATCCAATGTTCTCTTGTCTTTTCTTCCACTAGTACTACTCAAATTTTTCGTTGAATATCTTCACTCATAACTTGTCTATACTTATATGACCACACATCCACCTTAACATCCTCATTTCCCCTACTCTCATGTTATGATTATGTCGTCTCTTTGTTAGCCAAACATTCAACTCTGTTTAGCATTGTAGACCTTATCAGCATTCTATGAAAATTTTAGGATCACACATGAATACCGATGTACTGCGTGATTTCATCCAGCCTACTTTGATTCTATGGCTTACATCCTTGTCAAACTCTCCTCTTTTTTCCAAGATTGATCCTAGGTATCTAAATTCATCTTTCTTGGGTACTTCCTTTCCTATCATTATCACAAATTTTTTATCTCCTCTTCTTGTTGTGTCGACCTCACACCCATGTATTCAATTTTACTCCTACTTAACATAAATTTTTTAGACTCCTACTTGCTTCTCTATAATTCTAGTTTAGTGTTAACACCTGCCTCTGTCTCATCAATAAGTATAATATTGTAAAAACTCAATGTTTTATTCATCTTCTCTAATGTAATGAGTTTTTCAACATATAATAAAAGCATAAGGGTAAAAAATGAAAGAACCTAAGTACCATATGTAAAACAACAAAAGCTATGTGGGTTAAACCCATAACTCCTAATTTCATGAATTTCCCACACTCCCTCTCAAGTTGGGAGGTAAATACTGATCATTCCCAACTTGTCTATTAAGTTATCAAAAACTTATTTGTTTAGACTCTTAGTAAGAATGTCAGCAATTTGTTCTTTGGTAGAGATATTACATACACACAATCCCATCATTCAATTTCTCCTCGATGAAATGACGATCAACTTCCACGTTTTATTCTATCATGATGAATAGGATTTTGAACAATACTGATGGCTGCTTTGTTATCATAATACAACCTTAATGGTAAGGAAAATGAGATCTTTAGTTCATCTAGAAGTTTTCTTAACCAGACACCCTCACAAACTCCATGAGCTAGTGCTCGTAATTCTGCCTCAGCACTACTCCTTGCAACCACTATTTGCTTCTTGTTTCTCCAAGTTACTAAGTTTCCCCACATATAGGTGCGATAGCCTAAGGTTGATTTTCTGTCTACTGATGAACCTACCCAATCTGCATCAGTGTAGATTTCAATCATCCTATTATACCCCTTTATGAAGAACAATCCCCTTCCTTGTGTACTTTTGAGATACCTTAGGACTCGATAAACTACACCAAGATGTTTCTCTTTGGGTGAATGCATAAATTGGCTAACCATGCTTATTGCAAAAACAATGTCAGGTCGAGTATGAGACAGGTAGATCAATTTTCCAACCAATCTCTGATATTGCTCATTGTCCACCTCTTTCCCATCTTCTATACCCAACTTAACATTGGGTTCCATAGGTGTTTTAGTTGGCTTGCATCCTAACATGCTTGTCTACTGAAGCAAATCTAAGATGTGCTTCTTTTGAGAGATTTGTAAACCCTGTCTTGTTCCAGGCCACTTCTATGCCAAGAAAATATTTTAGGACTCCAAGGTCCTTCAATTCAAAATGACTTGCTAGATATTCCTTCAAGGAATATAACTCCTCACAGTTGTCACCAATAATGATTATGTTATCCACATAGACTATAAATGGAAACCTTACCATCCTTAGAAAGTTTGTTGAACAGTGTATGATCAATTTGGACCTGTAAGAAGCCCTTCCTCTTGAACACTTGAGTGAATTTATCGAACCATTCTCTAGGAGACTGTTTGAGCCTATAAAGAGACTTCTTTAACTTACACACCAAGCCAGCTCCTTTTTTGAAACCAAGGTAAGGATCTATATAGACTTCTTAATGTAGATCACTATTCAAATTAACATTCTTCACATCAACTGTTGTAAGGGCCCATCAAGATTAGCAACCAAGGAGAGAAGAACTCTAATAGTGTTGAGTTTGGCAACAGGAGAAAATGTTTCTTGATAATTTATTTCATACGTCTGAGTGTACCCCTTTGCAACTAGTTTGACCTTATATCTATTGATGCTACCATTTGCATTGAATTTAATGGTGTACATCCACTGGTTTATTTCATCCAACTGTTGTAAGGGCCAATCAAGATTAGCAACCAAGGAGAGAAGAACTCTAATAGTGTTGAGTTTGGCAACAGGAGCAAATGTTTCTTGATAATTTATTTCATACGTCTGAGTGTACCCCTTTGCAACTAGTCTGACCTTATATCTATTGATGCTACCATTTGCATTGAATTTAATGGTGTACACCCACTGGTTGCTTTCCTCTTGGTAATTCCACAATATCCAGTGTATTATTCCTTTCCAAAGTATCCATTTCCTCAATGATAGCCGACCTCCAATTTGGATCATCAAGGGCTTCTTGGATATTTTGGGAATCTTCACACCATCCAAGACAGTGTTGAAGGCAAGAAAACCTCGAGACAATGTATTATAGGAGACATATTGAGAGATAGGATATAAAGTAGAAGACCCGATTCCTTTCCTGAGAGAAATTGCAAATGTAAATCCTCATAGGCATGTCGGGTTGGATCCGGGTTGTTGGAACTAGAACCAAAAGTGGAATCCTGGCAGTGCAAAGGGTGTGGATTATTTACATTTTGAGAAGGATGTCTCCGACTATAAACCAACAATTGTTTTTACTGATTGTTGTTTCCATCTTTTTCCAACTGCTCATCTCTCCCAGTTTCCAATTGTGGTGAGTTCTGTGATGAAGGGATAGATAAGGAAAGAGGTAACCTTGCAGGTTCCCATGATTGATCTTCATCTAGAAGCTCCCCCTAAGAAGAAAGCGGGGAAAAGAAAGATTGAGTCTCAAAGAAAGTGACATCTGTAGAGACAAAAACCCTTCGGAGAGATGGGAAATAACATTTATATCTCTGTTGAGTAGAGAGTATTCAATGAAGACATACTTGTGAGATTTAGGATCAAGTTTGGAATAATAACACACAAAAATAATTTTGGAGTAAGTAAAGATATGGAGCTAATAAATGGATAATTCTTTAAAAGACTTGACAGCAGAGAAAGAAATTGAATGATACGAGAAGACATTCGATTGATGAGGTAGAAGGTAGTTAGAACAGCTTCCCCCACAAATATTTAGGGACATTCATGGTGAATATAAGAGCACATGAAGAGTATCATGACAAGAACTCTGATAAAGGATGCCATGATGAGAGAAGTATTCTCCAAGGACAGAATTAAAATATTCTTTACTATTGTCTGTTTGAAGAGTTTTTATATAGATGCTAAATTGGTTTTGAACCATGGCATGAATTTTTTTGAAAGCATGAACAACGTCAGACTTTTCTTTGAGAAAGTAGACCCAACACACTCGAGAATGGTCATCAATTATAAATCATCTTAAGTCAGAAATATTTGTTACACGAGATAGACCCCATATGTCACTGTGAACAAGAGTAAACAGGGAAGATTCTTTAATCTTCCCTGTGAGATAACCCATTTTGCCCCTTCCTCTAATAACTAATTGGACTGATTGAGACCATTGGAGGAATTTTTTCCATTCAACTTGTGATTGGTTATTTGAAGGGACAAATTTTCACCATATACCTACGAGTTGAGAGATGAAGATGTAGCGGTAAAGCTGGTGGAGAAAGCCATGAGAGAAGACAAAGGTTACCTAGGAAAAAAATGTCTCCAATCACTGTTTTGAACCCTCAAACAGATAGGAGAGAGGAGGACGAACCAAACGAGACAAGTCCAGAGCTGAACTGCCTGCACAGCAGCGCGTGGCTTACACGCGCTGAAGGAAGTCCGTGCGTGGGCACACGCAGGAGTGAGTCACCGGTCTGTTTCTGGCACGTATAGGAGCGTGGCAAGTCACAATCCGGTGGGACTTCTAGGAGCTTGTAGATCGGCATTTTCTGACAGCAGCTGATGGTGGTGACAAGCTGAGATTCAACCGGTTTTGACCTTCTACAATGACTGGCAACCTTACATTTGTTGTTGGGGCTTTGTAAGAGGGAGAACCATCCTTGACAATGGTTGATCTCAAGGTTTTTGCTGCGATGTGTTGCCGGATTTTCAGTTTTGATGGTGGCTGGGCTTTCTCAGGACCATGAAAGCTCTTGATACCATGTAAAAACTCAATGTTTTATTCATCTTCTCCAATGGAATAAGTTTTTCAACATATAATAAAAGTATAAGGGTAAAAAAGGAAAGAACCTAAGTAGCATATGTAAAACAACAAAAAAGCTATGTGGGTTAAACCCATAACTCCTAATTACATGATTTTCCCACAAATATCATCTAAAGTAGTATACACTATGGTGTCTTGTCTTTGATATCTTTAGTTAGCTCACCGTAACTAGGGCAAAAGGATAAGGACTCAGTGAAAAACCTTGGTGTAAACCTATAACAGTTGGAAAATGTCAAAATCTAAATATGTAGAGTTACTTTACTATTATGTTGATTACAAAATGCCAATATATACCAGGAATTGGGGAATGAATTGTACAATAAAATTAGAAAAATAGGAGTTACACCTAGTTGTGTACCATAAACTATGTCTGTCATTGTTGCTTGGAATCTACCATAAGTTATGGAAAAGATTTTGGCATAAAATTTGGAATTTGTCACCATATATTCTGTGACAGATCCTGCCACAAGTTCTAAAAAAGATTCTGTCATAAAATTAGAAACTTGTCACCACATATTCTAGAAGAAAATAAAGAACAAAATCCACCATTGTCTTGAATTTCTGCCACAAAGTCAAGACCATGTTTTCTCACACTCCCCCTCAAGCTGGTGAATAGGCATTCTTTATTCCCAAATTGGATATAATATTATGAAATACTGGACTATTTAACCCCATGGTAAGTACATCAGCCAATTGTCCTTGTGCAGTCAAATAGGATGTGCAAATTACTCCACTCTATTGCTTTTGCTTGATAAAATGTCTATCAAACTAAATGTGCCTTGAGCAGTCATGTTGCATTGGATTGTGAGCTATACTAATTGTTATCGCACTAGAGTCGCATTTGTCCCTCCCACTTAATCTTTAAGTCTTCAAGGATAATCTTCAACCAAAGTAGTTCACAAATATTCTGAGCCATTGCTCTAAATTTTGCCTTTGCACTGGATCGGACCACAACATTTTCTATCATCTTTAACCCTTTGTTAAGTAACTAATTAAGGACATTAGACTTCTAAATCATCACCATTTTCGATCATCTTCTTCTCCTAGACGACTTAGGCATTGTTAAGAAAGCTTGGAAACACACTTTGAGATACAACCATGGAAATCCTTAGTTGTCGTCATGAAAAATGTTTGGAATCACCATAGGATCATAACCTAACAAATTTTTCCCATCAAGAACCATCCTAGGTGGAGATGTTTCCCCTGAGAAAGTTTAGGAAAATTTGGTGACCTTGGTGTTTTGAGGAGTTTTTGGATTGTTTCAAGCTAGGGAAAGCATCCTCTCCTCATAATAATGTGTTTGGTGGTGAGTAAAATCATTTTGATCCAAGTTTCATGTATTTTCAAAAAGTTAGGTTTTCATGGTGTTGGATTTTCGAAATTTGTTATATGATGATGGTTTTGGTTGATTGATGATATGTTATTTGATGTTATAGTGTTGCATCAAGTGATATTGTGGTGAAAGACTCTCCAATGGAACTTTCAGTTGATCAGAACTTAGATCATTGATTTTGAGCAAAGAGGGTCTTAGAATCATGTATTTGTGAAGTTGTTTGAGACAATGACTTGGTATTCGTGTGTTAAAATTAGTATTGATCATATTTTCCACCATTTTACATTTTACAGTCAGACAACATTTTCAGGAAGTCTACATCAGGTAAACTTCTGGACCTTAGAGTTAGTCCTCTTGTGTGTTCCACCATACTCTGTTGGAGTAACAGTTTCAGTGATATGTTCTGCATATAGTTGTAGAGCATGACATAATGCATTTCAGTGAATAGTTGAATGATATGTATGTATGTTCACTATATTCAGTATGTTCTATGGCCATTAGAATTATATGCAGTAGTTAGTTTCCTTTGACACAGCCTACGAGATCTCTTTGGGGCTTAATGCCTATGAGACTCAATTTTCGGGATATCTCATGAAAATAACTAATCAATAGGAACTTCCATTGGACATAGCCTTTGGGACCTCCATGGGGTGCAGATACGTAAGAGACGCAGCCTTCAGGAAATCTCTTGGAAGTTTCCTCAATACAATATTTGTCAGATTATCATGTATGATGTAATGTGTATTTTACTGCTTCTGCACAGTAAGTGAACCATAAGGTGGAGTGATCTTCCAAGGACCCTTAGTTTACTGATATTTTTATCTCACCCCACGTTACGGGAATACATATCAGGTACCTCCTCAGACAGAGTAGAAGCACCACATGGCAAGGGGCCACAGATAGCCTGTAGTACATGTTTAGAGACTGATTACTTTTTTTTTGTATAGCTTATAAATTTTTTATTTAAATAATAAATAAATAATAATAAAGAGATTGATTACTTTTGTTGTTATGTAATCAGATATTGCAGACAGTTTATCATGTTATGTATATAATCATTTTACAATGCAATTATGTCATTTTGTATCAGTCATATGTGCATTTGTTAGAAGACTTTGTATAAAACTTATGTAAACTCAATTATGTTGATGAATGTAATTTGAGATGAAGTTATCATGTATATAGATTTAAGGTTATGTTTATGTTCAATGAGAATTTATGCAATGTTTCATGTATTTCATGAATGACAAGTCTAGTAGTATGGAAGGAATAAGATATTTTAAGTTATTACATGAGTTACAAGTAATGCAACATGCAAGAATATGCCTAAGAATGGCTATATGATTTCATGAGCTTTTAGGTCATGGATGTAAGCAAAGTTATTAAGGATTACTTGGATTACAAGACATGTTAGGGATGTATTACTTGAGGATCAAGAAACATGTCTGGAATGATGTAATCACAATGAAAGAGATTTTTTTTTGGTGAAAACAATGAAAGAGATTTAATCAAGTATGAATGTGATATTGGATTGTTTGTCTGGTCAATTAGGTACCAAAAAACCAAGCTTTTCCTCAAGGTTTATGTCAAGATACAAATAGAACCATACAAGAATAGGGCCTGCTTGCTGGCTTGCTCGCTGGAGCGAGCAGCCGAGCAAGCAGTTGCTTGGGATGGAAGAAATCCTTGTTAAGCTACTGCCCTGGAAATATATTGCTCGCTGGCTTGCTCGCCCATGCGAGCAGCTAACGAGCAAATTAAATGCTTGGTAGTAGCTACTGCCTTGATCCCATTTTCCTCGCTGAGTTCCTCGCTTTAGTGAGCAGATACGATCTCCTCACTAGCATGCTCGCTTCAGCGAGTAGGGCTAGCGAGCAAGCATAAAGACAACCCTGTTATTGTCTGAAAAATATATTCCTTGCTGACTTGCTCGCATCAGCGAGTAGTCTAGCGAGGAGCAGCAGAGTTACAAATCATGACATTTCAAGTTTAAATAAATAGAAAATGATTCCTATACCCTTTAGGTTTATGGTATTACTGTATAAGGGTTTGTAGGTTAGTATTATACGTTTCTGAATCATGTATACGTTATAATTGCTGTAATTGAACTTAATGAATACGGAAATCAATTTATTTTCAGAAACGGAAAGGAAAAAATTTATCCATCATTTTAATCAATTACTGTGTTTGTAGTTGCCTTTAATTCCATATGTGATGTTAACAAACCGGTCTAGAACGGGGTATTACAATTTCCTCCAAGGAAGCTAAAATATCCAGTAGTAAATATTCACTAGGTGCAGCATTGCATCAGTATATGCATCAAGCACTACTCCTACCTTTTCCCGATGTCCCCCTTGAGATACCCAAGATGAGTTATATTCCCACGATGAGGTTTTCAATAATAAAATTAATTATGAAAATAACACAGTAAACCAGAAAAGAAAATCAGTTTACTATTAGGTACGATGAAAGAAATTGTTTAAACCTCAAGCTGAGAAGATTCATCCAGAGAACCCCTTATCAGGTAGTGAACTCCTTTTTCCCCAGAAAGATATCCATAAGCACACTCAAATTCAAGCTCTATAGTTGCTGAATTGATTCCTCCATTCTTGAACAGACACCTGTCAACAATTCTTCCTTCATAACCTTGTTTTTTGGCCCATTTAAGATACATGCTTTGGAGCTGTTCTGCCCAGAGCTAGATTTATGCAAAAGTAGGTCAAAGACAGCAGAACAAATTTACATAAATAGTTTGAGAACAAAAGATATTGAATCATACAGCGGACAATCAATAACTCAATCTTAAAAAGTCTTGATGAAATATATAGATTCATCATGAGTAAACACTATAAAAATTGGCATATTTCATATGTTTTAGTACTTGAAGAAAATGCCTCAATACTTAAGCTCACATATGCGTGAGAATGTGCTAGATAAACCATAGGCCTAACTAATGGAAACCTTGTTTGCTTATTCCTGCTTCAGGAAAGAGCAAAACTCAAAGAATGAAGTAAACTTAAAACTTCAACACATACTACACCAGTAATATCATTATTTTAAATTAAAAATAACACATTCATCCATTAAAGTTGATTTCTATTAATTTCAGTCGCAGATGGAACTTGATTTCTGTAGAAATGAGAGGAGCTTATTGGCTGGTACAGCAACAGGACAATGGCAAATTAAACATTTCAATTGTAAATGAAAATAACTTATTTGTAAGAGAACAAAGATGATATTTAACTTCCAAATGTAGTTCACAAACAATATTCAATTAAACTTCTGAAGAATTGCTTAAGTGAAAAATCAATTTTAGAATGCATCATAATCAAAGTTATTTTTTTACTGAATATAGCAACACAATTTCTCATACATCAACCAGATTCACAAGTCGTAGTTCAGACAATCATAATAAAGTTCAAACATTATGTCATCAAACCTTTGGATAGATGCCTCTAGGTCCAGATTTTATAACCAAACAAGCTCCCGCCAGATCAAATGGCCCCTTAAGAAGCTTAGACATCTCATACTGATCCAGAATCTTACTCACATCCAAAGATGCATCATATGCTTGTTTATAAAGCCCATAATCAATAGCATTCATCTCAACCAATTGCGTGATCAGCTTTGCTTCCTCAACCTGCAGGACATAAAAAAAGGCATCACATTCTCTTCATATAAGACACAAAAAAAATAATTAAATAAAAATACATAAATAAACTGGCATGGCATTCTGTTAGCAGGCCTCTAATTAAAAAGGTCTATGTTAGGAAGGACAGGGGTAGAGTAGGGGATTGAAACCTGTTGAGATATATAGTCCCACATTGGTTGTATGTGCAACTAATGTGGAGTTTATAAGGCCTTAGGCACTCTCACCCTTTGAGCTAGCTTTTGGGGTGGTGTATCTCAAGGTTCTTAACATGGTATCAGAGCGTTCGAAATCTCACCGCCTCCCACTTTCTTTGTAGTGGAATTTCCACATGTAGATGGGCTTGTATGTTGTCCACCCTTCAAGCCCAGTGGGCTCTCGTGTGAGGAGGCGTGTTGAGATATATAGTCCCACATTGGTTGTATGTGCAACTAATGTGGAGTTTATAAGGTCTTGGGCACTCCCACCCTTGGAGCTAGCTTTGGGGTGGTGACCTCAAGGTTCTTTACATGGTATTAGAGCCTTGCCGCCCCCCACTTTCTCTTGTGGCGTTTTTTAGCACAGGTAGGCTGGACCTGTTGCATGGTATCTCAAGGTTCTTTACAAAACCCAAGCCTTTACTATCAGCAAAGAACTGTCTAGCGGATAGGTAAGGCATGAACAATTAATTAGGAATAAATGGGGATAGGGGGTTAGTTAGGGACAGTTATTGATTAGTTGAAGGAAAGAGGAGGGAAGACAGGAATCTAGAATATATTGGGGTAGGAGAATAGTGCTTCTGTTATCCAGCACTAATTTTTATCTTCATCTCTGATTTGGTACACCATTGATACAAATCCAGAGATAGAAACTTCTGTCAATAAACGTTTCATTTTGTTCAACATTGTAATCGAATTCTATGACATTCATTATATGCTCTTAGTGGTGATAGTAAAGATACTTCTTGAGCAAACATATATCATTCATCACTTTTGAGAAGTATGGTGGACCAAAGGCAGCAGGAGTGCTCAACTGCACAACTGAATTTTACAGTGGCTAAAGGTAATATAAGGTAAAGCCATTCACAAATTCAGGGCTATCTCTGAGCTTTATTGAAAAGCTATCAACCTAAACACTATACTTATAATTATCCCAGACATAGAAGCATTCATTGTCTGCTTCTTTCTTCGATGTAATTGCCACATTTTATTTTGTTTTTGATCCATGGCCAATGATGGAACCTGTTAGAAATAATATTAATTTATAATATTAATTTATTATTATTAGAATAGTCTAGAATAGTCTAGATTGTGGGCTTGGCCCATTAGGTCATTCCGTTAGGTCTTTTAGTGTCTATAAATAGAGAGCCTCCTTGTACAGACTTATACACTTGAATATACAATATATTTCAGATTCAATTTGGTATCAGAGCTCTCGATCTGAGGGCTCTGCTTCCACATATATATCTTTTCCTTTCTTTTTACTGCCGTGCATCATACCGGCAACCATCCTTTCACACCTAACCCTTATTCAGTCACAAATTTTTTTGTCCTCAACCTCGTATCATCAAGAAAAAGATCGTCAGCCTCCGTTCATCGCCGGAAACCGCCAGAAAACCACCGTCCGCCACTGTTCACCGCCGTCAGACTGCTTTTCCGGCGACTTTTCCGACCAACCACCACGCGATCAGGAGCGGCTCAGGGAGGCGACCCCGTCTGTCCAAGCCGTGTGTTGATTGGAGCATCCACGCGCCGCCACGCGCCGGTGGAAGTCTCCGGCGGCCGAACCACTGTTCCGGCGCGTGAGCCACCGTCCGGCCACCGTTCCAGGCCGGACCACCACCATCTTGCTCGCCTCCTCACCCTCTTTCCAGATCTGGTCTCCGTTCGTTGTGGGTCCCATCCGTTTGAAAGATATCAGTGAAAAACCCGCTGTTTGGACACTTTTGTGCAACGTTTTTGCGCGATTTCTTGCTTTCTTGTAGTTCTTTTCTATTTTCTGGTCATCTCCTTTTATTTTGTGATGGAGGGCTCAAATAATGCGTCCAAAAACATGACTGGCATCATCTCCGGTACTACCCCATCTCCATTCTTTTCTCGGGCCCGTGATTCCAATTGGAACAGTGCGGAGGCAGAATATCGGTCAATGGCAAATGCAACCTGTGAGCTCATCTGGCTGAGTCAATTGCTGAAGGAACTCCATCTCTGTGAACAAAGGCCTATGAAGCTCATTTGTGACAACCAAGCCGCTTTGCATATATCCTCTAACTCAGTCTTTCATGAGAGGACCAAGCATATAGAAATTGACTGTCATTTTGTTAGAGAAAAGATCCAGTCAAGGGAGATCGAGACAGCATTTGTCAATTCCAATGATCAACTTGCGGATGTATTCACTAAAGCTCTTAGAGGTCCTCGAATAGATCATATTTGTAACAAGCTGGGAGCTTTTGATATATACGCACCAGCTTGAGGGGGAGTGTTAGAAATAATATTAATTTATAATATTAATTTATTATTATTAGAATAGTCTAGAATAGTCTAGATTGTGGGCTTGGCCCATTAGGTCATTCCGTTAGGTCTTTTAGTCTCTATAAATAGAGAGCCTCCTTGAGCTAGTTTTCGGGGTAGTGATTTCAAGGTTCTTAACATGGTAGCAGAGTCTCGTCGTCCTCCACTTTCTCTTGTGGAGTTTCTTAGCACAGGTAGGCTGGGCCTGTCGCATTGTCCACTCTTCAAGTCCAATGGGCTCTCGTGTGAGGGGGCGTGTTTATAAGGTCTTGGGCACTCCCACCCTTTGAGCTAGCTTTTGGGGTGGTGTATCCCAAGGTTCTTAACAGAACCCATATATTCAATAGCAATTAAACAGAAATACACAAGCAAAATAGAGAAATAACACTGATTGTATTGAAATAAAACGATCACAGATTGCCTAATTATTGATTCAAATTGAATCGACTGCATCCTATCACACTGTGACAGGGTTACAATGATGTTAAGAACCAATTTAACCCAAAAGCTTAAGCTGTTGGGTGAGGCAACATTAATAGTTTTATATATTTCAACACGCTCCCTCACATGAGAGCCCACTGGGCTTGAAGGGTGGATAATGCACAGGCCCACCTACCTGTGCGAAGAAAGAAATTCCACTGGAAAGAAAGTGGGGGCAGTGAGGATCGAACCCGGTACACCGAGCCTCTGATACCAACTTGAAAATAGAAGAGAATTGTAAAGAACCAATTCAACTCAAAAGCTTAAGCTGATGGGTGAGGCTACATTAATGGTTTTATATATCTCTAAGACGCCTCCTCACACGAAAACCTATTGGGCTTGAAGGATGGACAATGCACAGGTCCACCTACCTATGCTGAGAAACTCCACAAAACTTAATTAATTATTAATTAAATAGGGGCGGTGAGGATCGAACCTGTGACACCGAGGCTTTGATACCATGTAAAGAACCAATTCAACCCAAAAGCTTTCGATTCTGAAGGCTTTGCTTGCGCAATTACCGCCATTAGAACTAAAACTTTTTTTTTATTCGCCTCTCGCCGCCATTAGCCGCCACCGGAGAAACTTTCCGGGGACCTTTTGGACTGAGAGGACCTGTTGATAATAAGTCCGTTATTTGTATAGCTCATAATCCAGTTCAACATGATCGAACTAAGCATATTGAGGTCGATCGCCATTTCATCAAAGAGAAACTTGATAACGGGTTGATTGTCACTCCATACATTCCCACTGGGCGTCAATTGGCTGATGTATTGACAAAGGGACTTCCTTCAAATAGATTTCAAGAACGTACTAGCAAGCTGAGAATGATAAATATCTATTCCTTAGCTTAAGGGAAAGTGTTGTAAATAATAATATTAATTATTTATTTGTTGTATTAGGCTTAGCCCATTAGGTCATGTAGTCTATTTAAATAGAGAACCCTTTGTACAGTTTACACGTAACTTAATAATATATTCTCTTCTATTTTCAAGTAATGAAATAAGAAGTTAAAACACCAAAAGACCTCACTCACACTCAAGCCAAAATACCTATGTCAAAGAGATCCCAAGAGATCCTTTCCCAAAACCCAATTCACCAAATACTCAATATCTACCTATCACACTACACAAACTCCTTTTATTCTAACTCAGAACATGCTAGAAGCTTTCCTAGTTAACTAACTAACTAATTCAGGCCCATTCTAATTAACTCAGGCCCATCAGCCAACACAATCATCACACCATAAAGCTTTATATAGAATAAAAGACATAATTTTTTCAAATTCAAGTGAAACTGATGGTAACAGAATATCACCTTGTATCTCAAGTCCTTAAGAGAATCAACCACTTTGGCACTGGTAGCCAACTTGACAAGAATGTCGTTGGACTTAGCTGGATCATCCCAAAGATCAAAATCGCGTATCATTTCTTCCTGCTTGGTCCACTTTGCTTCTTCCATTTCCAAGGCTGTTGAGGCAAACATCTCAGCACGAAGAACTGCATCTTCAATTTTCCTTCGTAGCGAAAATAAACCTGATCATATTTGAGTGACTGATGATTAAAGGAAATAGTAAGTGAAATAAAGTAGAAGGTATAAAGCTTATAAGTATAATGGTCATTATACCATCAAAAGTCATTATTTCACATTTACTTTGATCTGGCTCATTACAATTGCAGAAGAGTCATTATATTATCAAGAGTTTTCAATCAACTTATATTTTGCTCTGAGGGCTTGCTCAGGCTATCAAACTCAGAAAGAGGAATACAAAGTAAACAAGAAAGTGAATATTTGTGCATGACAAAAGCCACCATTATGGCATCAAATTTAGAAAGGGAAAAAAAGATATTTATGGTGATCCCTCATGATCATAGGTGCAGCATGAAGTATATAAGTGAACAATAAGGAGAAACATTCTTTTACCAAATTTACGCAAATAAGTTATTCTGTTTATAGATAATATCATAGTAAACACTGTTTCTCTTCTTTTACTATTGATCCAATTTTCACATGCCTTTATTTTTATCACATCATATATCAGAACTACCGAGATATCTGAAAAGAGTACATGATAACAAGTCTCCCATTAATACCAGAGACATTTTTTCAGAATCAGATAAGTGGGCCATTTATCCCTTAGGCACAGTTCTTTGTAACCTTTTTTTTTTTTTTAAAAAAATTTCTCAACTTATTTGGGTTGACCCGGGCAGGATCACAAGGGAGGCAAGTCTGTCTACCAAGTTTTTATCATAGGGTACCCAGGATTCGAACTAAAAATCACTAGTTAAACTGAAACAACTGCTTCCACGTGCTTTGGACCTTATCTTCACGTTTTCTTGAAATTAGGCATACAATAATATATTGGACCTTACAATTGAAGTCCCACTATATCTGACATTGGTGGTGTAAAGAACCATTTCATCCAAAATCTTAAGCTCTCAGGAGTTGCTATATTAATGGTTTTATATTATATTTCTTTAAAAGGTGGAACATCTATAGCCAAGAAAAAATATACCAATTTTCAACCAATTTATCATCATCAGAATTTTGAAATAACATATTAAAACCAAAAAAGAAAATGTTCTTGACTGAAAACACAAACCTTCAAATAAAAATTTGATGTTTCTTTAGATTTATTCTGTATCCAAAAATACCTCTTCTAATCTCAATCCTCAATTTTCCACCTTACCCTTTTCACTCATATAAAGCAAAAGGGCATTGACATATATATAGGAAAAGAAGCCATACCCACCACAGCAAAACTACATTGAACCACTAATATCACCTTATTCCAGACATAACAGAAACAATAAACAAAAGCAGCACATGCTAATCACCAAAAAAAAAAAAAGCATTTTGGAACAGACCCACTTGTTTGTATGCATCCTTATTGTTAGCAATGGGATGACAAGCTCTAATTCTGGAAGAAAATCGAAGCAACTGAACATGTGGCTTCTTCCTCATTAGAAATGACTGCAAATTTGAGTCGAAATAAGATGCAATATCATGAGCTGTTCTTGCACAAGCAGGTTCAGAGACAACCGTTGCCATAATCATTAGGAGAAGAAGCAGACAACTAATTGCAGCACAATGTGAAGCTGAAGAAAACCTTTGCAGCACAACTGTTTGTGTTAAAAGCAAAATGGAAATAGTGAAATATTGTTCCACTTTTTTTTCTTTCTTTTTTTGCCCCTTTTTTCGTTGCATTATCTTAAGAGGGAAAATACTTTTTAGAATTTCGTTGCGCTGAAAATAGGACAAGTGGACTATACTACAGCCACAACGGTTCAGATTTTGGGGAAATTTTTTCTCTCAGATTTATCCAGTTCGATGCATTTTTTATTTCTAAATAAGGAAATTATTTTTCTACTTATATCTTTTTATTTATTTCCACTAAATTTATTTTGATTGTGATATTATACTAAGCCCAACTTCTTTGTTCTGTTGACGTCATTAGTTTATTGTTAGAAATTGGAAAAGTTTGTAAGTATATTATTTCGATAGGAAAATCAAAATAGTTTGTCTTGAAGTTTGACAATCTAATATATTTAATATGTTAAAATAAAGTTTATGACTCTCGATTAATTGAATATATAATATATAAAGGGTTTTTTACAACCACCGATAATATAGGGGTCACAATCAAGGAAGCACGGACACTTGTAAAAACAGGAAGAGTCGGGTCCGAATGCTCCGACACGGTGTCGGACACGCGGTTGACTTTTTTCGACACGTTGACCATTCCGACACGCGAATTTGACCTTGTCCGACACGGTCAAATGACATTTTCGTAATTTTTTAATTTTTTTTAAAAAAAAATTACTTTTTGTAAAAGTTAAAATATATTAATAAAGCTTCCACCTGATCATATCAATTTTATCTTTTTGTCTTTTTTCCCCTTAAGTAGATAAGAGATCATCTCAACATCATTGTTGGCAATTCCTATCACGCTCTTGTTGTATCTTCTTCTCTCTTCTCTCTCTAATATGATTTGATCTCTCTATCTGAAATTATATCTCTCTCCCATCCCAGTTCTTATTTTTTTATTAAAACTTTCATCTTTATAACGTGTTAATGGGTATTATTAATTTAGTTTCATTTTTTTGTTAAATTATTAAATATTAAATGAAATATACACTATATAAATTAAAAATATTTTTTAATATTAAAACGTGTCCCAACGTGTCGAAATCCATAATTTTTTAAGATTGACGTGTCGGAGTGTCGTGTCATGTCGTGTCACGTGTCGCGTGTCGTATCGGTGCTACATAGGTCACAATCTTGAGTGTATTTTGTGGAAGCATTACAAAAGATGAACTGCAATCTCTTTTCGCAAATAATCAGTTGAAAGATAGTACAAAACAATACATGTAATGGCACGAATCCAAAAATTTGTTGTAACTGAATGTAAGGTATGCGTAGCTAGCTTAAGGCAAAAACAAATATTAGGATAACAAAATCCCTATATAATAAAATTAAAATAATAAGAATTATTAATTTAATACTGTTCCTGAAGATGGAGTGAACAAATTTTGTACACCCATCTTGCCAAGGAGAGAAAGGAACTCGGTGTGTGTGTGTGTGTGGTGGGTGTGGGGGGGGGGGGGGGGGGATGAAAAGTGGATTGGCAAGTAAATTCGGGTCTAGGGTTTAGGGTTGGCAAATAAATTCGATATCACAAAACAAATGTGCAAGAGGGGGGATATGGATCCAACCTTCAAGAAATGATAAATCATATATATATATATATATATATATATATATATATATATATATGTGTGATAAAATCATTTCTGCAGTCACTTTACGTACAACAACGACATGTGTATGGTTATGATTTTCCACATTTAATGCTTTCATCATTTGTATGGTTATGATTCTCCGTATTTAATGCTTTCAAGTATATATATGACAAGTAATTGATTGCTACACATACAACAGCTGCAGAAATGTAAACCCCTATATATATGTGTGTGTGTGATAAAATCATTTCTGCAGCCGCTTTACGTACAGCAACGACAGGTATATTGTTATGATTTCCCACATTTAATGTTTTCATCCTTTGTATGGTTATGATTCTCCGTATTTAATGTTTTCAAGTATATATATGACAAGTATTTGATTGTTGTACGTACAACAGCTGTAGAAATGTAAACCTCTATATATATATGGGAAAAATGTTTCCGCAGTTAATGCAGAGAAGTTATCTACATTTATTCCCAAAACAACGTCGTTTTGGTATTGAAATCTTAAAAAATTATAAATATAAAGACTATTATAACCCTAAAATAAATTAAAATTACAAAAACACCATGATTTCCGTCCCAAAACGACGTCGTATTGGCTTACTGCAGAAAAAGTGAACTCTATATGTATATATATATATATATATATATATATATATATATATATATATATATATATATATATATCATTTGACTCCAAAGTAAGACTTATAAATCTTACTCATCATCCTAGCCATTGATTTTCGTCCATCCAACGGTTATAGTTTAAGAAGTTATATTAATTAATTATTAATTATAAATGACAACCGTTGATTTTCGTCCATCAACGATTGAGATGGGGAGTGAGATTTAAAAATCTTACTCCGGAGTCAAAAGAACCCTCCCATATATATATATATATATATATATAAGAGACTTTATTATTTATTTAAATAAGTGCCGAAATAAACCAAGAGACTCATTATAAATACCATGTTACTAAACTTTCGATCTTATATATAATATATATCGCTCATTTCAGCCCATATTATTAAGTCATGTATATTAAGAGTACATATAATATTTGATTTATTTATACTAACAATAATACATTATAAATAGGAAAACTAACTATTCTTCTACTTCAAAAGAAATAGTGCAGTAATTGATAATACGAACAACATTACATTAAATAGAAAAACTAACTATTTAGTTAGGAGATCAGCCTAATTATTAAGAGGAATGGAGATGAAAAGTACTGGATTGGCAAGTAAATTCGTTATCACAAAACAAATGTGCAAGCGGGGGATATGGTTCCAACTTTCAAGTGATTTGAGAAATTATATATCATATATATATATATATATATATATATATATATATATATATATATATATATATATATATATATAGAGAGAGATAGACTTTTATTTATTTATTTAAATAAGTGCCAAAATAAACCAGGAAACTCATTATAAATACCATGTTACTGAACTTACATACATCCGATCTTATATATAATGTATATCGCCCATTTCAGCCCATATTATTAAGTCATGCATATTAAGAGTACATATAATATGCGATTTATTTATACTAACGATAATACATTATTATTTAATGTAATGTTGTTCGTATTATTAATTACTGCACTATTTCTTTTGAAGTAGAAGAATAGTTAGTTTTCCTATTTATAATGTATTATTGTTGGGTTCGTTTTTTCTGCAGTTACTGATGTTTTATCGTTTTGGGGCAGAAATCATGATTTTTTGTAATTTTAATTTATTTTAGGGTTATAATAGTCTTTATATTTAAAAAAAATTTAAGATTTCAATACCAAAACGACGTCGCTTTTTGGAATAAATACAAATAACTTATCTGCATTAACTGCAGAAATATTTTTCCCATTATTGTTAGTATAAATAAATCAAATATTATATGTACTCTTAATATACATGACTTAATAATGTGGGCTGAAATGGGCAATATATATTATATATAAGATCGAATGTATGTAAGTTCAGTAACATGGTATTTATAATGAGTCTCTTGGTTTATTTCGGCGCCTCAAACTCTAACATAGTGTCAACTACATGTATGGTGGTCCTAATGACACTGAGTTCCAATATTTCGCAATTGATAAATACAAACACAAATATGCAATATATACAATAACAAAACTCAATGCATTATCAATTGCTCCATACGAGATTTGTATATCAACTAAATACCAATTATGTCTGTAATAAATAATTCAACATGATAAATAAATAACAAAGAACTCAAACTCTCACTAATCGATCACATCAAAGCAACTTACAATGTCTATGTTCTTCACATGCATTCTAAATATCATAGGCCTAATCCTTCGATTAGAGGGTTAGTCAATATACTTAACAATTAAGTTATCCACAAAACAAATAATTAAATAAAACTCATAGCCAATGACTTGAAGAGTTTCATTGTTTTCCATCACTAAAAATATAATAAAATCCAAACTGATCCAAAAAGGGTATAAAATTCAAAATCCATCTTAAAAAGACCTTATAGAAAGTTCATTTCAAAATAACTCATATCCCGAAGTCAAAAACTAAGCAAATATCTCTCACTGACTCCACAATAACTTCAAGATCACACAAAATCAATTATACCTCTCCGACTAAAGAAATGTCAAGTATACTCTCCACATTAACTATAGAAGAACTTTAATGCAATGCCTTATCAAGATCAAAATTCATAAGGAAAATTTATATCTCATCTCTATTCATTATAATTCAATCCAATCAGTAATTCCATTATGACATTGTTATCATTTATATCAAAAGTGTATTTATTACATTAAGTGCAGTTATATTAATTATGGGAATAAAGTAACTTTATAGAAATAATTAAAATATTATAAACTCTCATTTGGGCAAAGTATATGATATATAATTGTTGGGATCGTTTTTTCTAAAGTTACTTTAGATAACTTTATCTAATGTTCACCGAAACGACGTCGTTTTGGAGAGGAAATCATGGTGTGTTTGTAATTTTAATTTATTTCAGGGTTATAATAGTCTTTATCATTCTAATTTTTTGATTTTTCAACTCCAAAACGACGTCGTTTTGATGAACATTAGACAAAACTGTCTAAAGTAACATTAGAAACTTTTTTCCCATAATTATTTCACATTATTTAAATTTTTTTCTCAATATATGTTTCAAGGATTACTGCATACAATAACCCCCTTTGAATAAGTAATTGCAAACGATGACTTTTATCAATAAAAAACTCTAACAATTCACAAATAATGTTCCGAATAATCATGCCTAAATAATATGAAAAACCTTATAACGTGTTTTCAAAATTCATATTGCTTAATCTAAACTATCATTTATGCCACAAATTCCAATCCTCAATATCAACAATAACATATCTTATCTCACAAATCAAATTTTATTAACAAAGTACATAATGTTGGACAAGTGGCTTCAATACTCAAGAGGGGGGTGAATTGAGTTTTACAAAATATTTTCGCAAAGTGCCTCCTTTAATATTTCAAATTCAATAAAGTGATTTAATAAGAAAAATCTAAGTGTGATAGCAAGTGTAAGAACCCGCACCGTTAATTAAGGAAGTTAATTAATTAATTATGAGAAATTAGGAAATAATTTCATAATTGACCTTAATAATTGTGAGAAGGCTTAAATAAATATAGAAAGTAATTAATAATGCTGAAAGTCGCTTTTCTGACGAAAAGTGCAGATACCGGTTCTGCTACTCGGTATAAATGCGTACCGATGAAGTATCCCGGAAAATTATAATAAGTGTGGGAGTATTACTAGAATAATATATAGGACTTGTAAAACGCGTACCAGAAAGGTGATGCGAAAAATAAAATAAAAATATGACAAATCTTAGAAAAATGAGTAGGTTCAGAATCCTAAATTTGGGATTAAAATGCTAAGCGTAACATTTAGCGCTAATACAGTGCGATTAAGACTTAAGTGGCCTATATAAGGCCATGGCACACATTTCTAGGTCAGATTTTGTTCCTCCTACGTGAAATTCTGAGAGCTTGGCTGTTGCCACCCTTCTCCTTGGTCACCTTGCATGAGAAAAACCTCTAAGCCACCTCCTTTCTTGGATTTCTTCACCTCTAAACAAGTAAACACTTGGGTGTGAGCATTGGTGAGGGTGAAAGGTGTCATCTTCTGAGTTGAGGGTGTTGTCTTGTGTGAGGGGGTGGGGCTGAGATCCTGTGGGCAGGTACGGCATGAGCGCGTACTGTGTGGGTAATAGACGTATTCCTGCACTTCTCCGGCCAGTATAATAGTTATAACACACAAGGCATGAATATCTGTTGCATTTCATTGAGCTTTGGAACTTATATCATATACCTGCTTTTGAACTTATATTGCATATGTAAGTGAGCTTGAGGTGGAAGATCTTTGAGGACCCCTTGTCTTACTGAGATTTCTGTTTAGAGATCTCATCCCACGTTTGGGGCACATATTTCAGGTTCAGGTAATGCGGGGGTTGAGACCTCTAGCTGCAGGAGGCCGGAGCTTAGCTGATATTACTGTTTATATGATGATTATGCTTGGATGCTGGATTATGCTTGTTGCTACTTGCTGTTAGCTTTATGATTATATTGCTATTGTTGTTGAGACCTTGTTTGGCTATGTTGCCTTATTTGGTGAGCATGGGGATTGTCCATGCCACATTGATTGACTATGTCTTAGTTAGATTTGAGTTGCAATAATGTATCAGGATTATGTCCGGACTACGTGTTGTAGTTCCCTGATTTTAGATACTCACTGTTAATTATATATTGAGGTATTCCAGTTAGCTGTCTTTTGCAATTTACATACAGGAAATGTTTTGAAAGAGGATTTTAGTAATCAACTTGGCTAAAGATAATGACGTCATAATTGAAAAGAAAAAGATATTCTGCATTTTTAATTAAGCGTGGCTTAATACAATGACATGCTAACAAACCGGGTATACACGGGGTGTTACAGCAAGTGTGTGATCAATAAAGTAAGCAAGCAAATAGATAAACACAATCTAAAAATGCAATTTCAAAACTAAAGTAAGGAGTTTAAAGTTAGAGAAATTGCAAACTAGATGTATCCTGGTTCGATCACCACCTCTGTGACCTACATCCAGACTGAAGCCGCTCGATCAAACTTTTTCACTAACTATCAAGCTTGGGGTGCTTGACAAACCACTATAACCTTTCAAGACTTTGGGCTCTTAATGCCTCACAATTTTACACTTCAAATTTTCTTAGGAATTTGGTGACCTTTTAAGTGTAAGTGTTCACTCCCCTAACTATTCAAGAAATCAAATGGAGGTGCTTAACACTAGCTAAGTGTGACACCACCCCCTGTAAGCATCCAAGGGAGATGCCTGCTAAACCGATTAGAGTCGCAGCGTTTATGTATTCAATTAAAGAAATTCACTCTGAAGTCACGTGATAAATATTTGTATTGAAATCGAAATTTCGTAAGTAAAACAGTTAGGAATAAAAAACTATTGAAGTTGAATTCGTAATTGCTTTTCAGAAAACCTGTCTGTATTGCAAAATTCATATAAAATCGAAAATACATGCGTTGGTTATGAATGTTTTATAATCTGAAAATAGACATCTGGGGCTTTACGTACATATAAATTATGTCTCATTCGGAGGTCCGTAGCCCCAGAAACAGAACTCGCAAAGTGCTCGTTAATTCAGTTTAAAGATCCGAATTTAAATCAGGTAGAAATTGTTTTTGCAAATCGAATACTAGAGTTACACAAGTTACATGCAAAACATAAAAATCCAAAATACAGCAAAATAAGACGCGGTTCCAACATTTATCGGTCTCTCAAAATATTACATCAACTTCGAATATTCAGCACACAACAACAGAAACAGTGGACATACAACAGGGTTCCAAACAGCAGAACTTAAACAGAATATATCCAAAACAAATACTTCATCAAATGCTTCTTCGTCCTCCTGCAATTTTATAAAAATTGATCCCCAAAAAGGGGTGAGAAAAATCCCAGTAGTGTGATAGAAAAACCAACAGTGCAACAGTATTAGTCTAGATATAGAATTTCCAAAACAGCCGCATCATCAAATACTTTCCGAACAGATACTAAAATGCAACAGATTGCGTATATAACGCCAGATTAATGTATGTTCATAGCACTACAGTGCACATACTAACTAACTCAACGGAGATTCCATTTGGCCCTAACAGAGGGGAATTCCAACTGAGACCTATGCGAACTGAGCCACGGTTCCTTCTCCCTGGTACCTGAGGGATGCCTATATGATGCATGCTCAAACAAATGTTTCCTTTCATAATATTTACGGTTTCCAAAACTGCATGAATATTGATGCATGTCATGCTATGTTTTGTTTCGCACGCACATGAAAAATATGTGGATTTATGATGTACATGAGCATGACAAAAATCAAAATCAGAATACCATAGTTCTCATGGATTTTTGACACCCAACATTTCGAATAACATGTGTCTCCAAAACCGAATTTCAACAAGTCCGAGTACAAGGGCAGATTACAAATATTTTCTAGCAGAATATATACATATAGTGGTTCACGTGAGCAACAATTCAGAAGTTCAAGCACTAGCTAATAGTCACAAAGGTTTAACTACCTAACACTTACCTTGGTGTGTCCAAATTCTCAACCCAAGAAACACCAAAATCAGTCACCTTTGATTAGAGATTTGCGCACCTAATTCAAGTGTACAACAAGTCAGAATTTTCGTTCAAGCTTTCCTATAATTCACAAGCAATTTCCATGCCTCCTAACCCTTGGTGTTAATCGAATTACCATGATTCTTACACTAAACTAATTTATGACTTCATATTAATTTACCAGCTTGTTAACAGTGATAAAATCCAAAGTCTCCAACACATACAAATTCGGTTTTTAGCATTAAAAAGATGCTCACGATATTTATTTACATATCCAACTCTACTAAGCCTATGGGTGCGCTAGGGGGATCTATAAGCATGCTGTACATTTAAGTTTAACTCATGCAAAGCTAGACACATCAATCTAGTCCAACAAAACAGTCTAACCAACGATGGAGGCTATTTTCCAAGCTCCAAAATCAATTCTTTGTGCTTGCAAGCACTAGGTCTAGGCGGTCCAAAAGGGCATAAGCAAGGAATTCGAAACGACAAAAATCTAACCCCCCCTAAAATACACATGCAAGCCGAACCAGTGAGGAAAAAGGGAAGCTTGAGGTCCGACTCATACCTGCTTGTGTGTACCCAAATAATCACCAATCGACCAAGGGGGTAGCAGCCAAGGAATGAACAACACCCTCAACCTTCTTATGCTCCAAAATTTCGTATTTTAGCTGCATGCAAACAGTGAAATGGCTCCATCAAAATCGAGTGGAGTGTGTAGAAACAAAGAAGAGGAAATCACATTACCTCCTTGCTAGATGAGGTTCGGCCAACAAGGAAAAGAGAAGGAGAATATACTTAGGAGTTTTGTGGTCTTCTCATGAGGCTCACGGTTTGAAGGAGGAGATGAATGGAAGAAGATGCAAATTTTGCTTTGTGTTGTTTACTAATGAACTTGCGATTTTTGGGAGGAATAGGAGATGAGAGGCTGAGTTATGTCCTTGAATATAGAGGATGAAAGAAACCAGCTTTAAGGTTCACTAACTAACACATAGAGGGAGAGAGAGAGAAGGGTTTGAATGCTGACCCAAAAGATGACACAATTCAGTTTGCTTAACACCCATTGGTTGCATAGTTGGCAAGGCTGGTTGAGTTTGGCTACTACAATAAGCAATCAGCTTGCTTTCTCCCTACTCCATGCGCATGAAAGGGGATACAAGTTTCGGCCAAACAAAAATTGGGGACCAAAAATATTCAAGCCCAAAGGTGTACTACTTAGGCACTTGCCCATGAAATCAAGAGTTCCCCAAATCTTTTAAGTATTTTTAATTTTTCTATATGTTGCTATTAATTTATTCCTACATCTTTTACTAATGTTTCACATGCCTAAAAACAATTTCTCACCTATCATTGTAATTCAAATAATTCCCTAACTCAATATTAATTCTATACTAGTAGCCATATAATTCGAAGGTAAGGCATGTAGTGCACATAATTCGAATCTAACATAAGTATCCATATTCCTCATAGCAATATATATGTATATTTTCCTAATTACGTGAGATGTTACACTCTCCCCACCAAAATGGAATTTTGTCCGCAAAATTAGACTTACTTACTAATTAAACAGTTCCAGATAGCGATTCCGAATGTCATCTTCTCCCTCCCAAGTGGCTTCATATGCCGATTTGTTGTTCCACAACACTTTCACCAGTGGTATCTCCTTGGAACAGAGTTGTTTAACAGATCTCTCAAGAATTTGGAATGGTTGAACATGATACATCAGATTTTCCCTTAATTCCACTTCTTCCGGCTGTAACACATGAGATGGATCAGAGAGATATCTCCTCAGCTGCGACACATGAAATACATTATGAATCCCTGATAAATTAGGTGGTATCGCCAACCAGTAAGCTGATTCTCCAATCCTGTCCAAGATAAGATATGGACCCAAGTACCGCGGACTTAATTTCTTTACTACCATTCTCCGGCCGAGTCCCGATTTGGGTGTGATTCTCAAAAATACGTGGTCTCCCACTTCAAAAGATAAGGGCCTATGACGATTGTCATAATAACTTTTCTGCCTCGCCTGGGCCCGCTGCATGTTTTCTTTAATCTTCTGTACCTGCTCAGATGTTTCTTGAATCATATCGGGCCCCAAAATACTCTGCTCGCCAACTTCAACCCAACACAATGGGGATATACATTTCCTCCCGTACTATGCTTCATACGGTGCCATACGGATACTGGAATGATAACTGTTATTGTATGCAAACTCTACCAAAGGAAGATATTTGTCCCAACTGCCTCCTTGATCTAAGATACATGCCCGCAACATATCCTCTAGAACCTGAATAGTGCGCTCAGTCTGGCCATCGATTTGCGGATGATAAGCAGTGCTCAACCTCAAGTGGGTTCCGAGAGCTCGCTGAAAAGACTCCCAAAACTTAGAGGTGAACTTGGGATCATGATCACTGACAATACTAGTAGGAACTCCATGCAGCTTCACGATCTCAACATTTCATTCTCATCCCAAACTACATCTTGGACACCAGCCAAATTATGGATTAGTTCCTCATCCCTTTGAGCCCTCTTGATTCTACGGAGTAACTCATTCTCTATTTTTACGTTGCCCATCCTTATACTACGCCTTCTGACAACAGACAGATTCATGTCTCGAAAAGCCTCAAATAGTTTCAGTTCTTCCATCATCAACGTTGCAGTGTGTAGAGTCTTCCGACTCAAGGCATCAACTACCACATTTGCTTTGCCTGGGTGGTATTTAAGTTCAAACTCGTAATCTTTCAAGAATTCCATCCATCGGTGCTGCCTCATATTTAACTCCTTCTGATCGAACAAGTACTTTAGACTCTTGTGATTACTGAAAACATCAAACTGTGAACCATACAGATAATGTCTCCAGATTTTTAGTGCGAACACTATGGCTGCTAACTCCAGATCGTGCGTAGGGTAATTTTCTTCATGAGATTTCAGTTGCCGAGAGGCATAAGCTACAACCATTCGGTCCTGCATTAACACACAGCCAAGTCCCTTCAAGGACGCATCACAGTATACTTCAAACTTTCTATTTGGATCGGGAATGGTAAGTATTCGAGCACTCGTCAATCTATTCTTCAGCTCCAGGAAACATTCTTCACAATCATCAGTCCACTCAAAAGGCACATCCTTCCGAGTGAGACGGGTAAGTGGATGTACTAACTGAGAATTTCTTTGAATAAACCTTCGATAATAGCCTGCAAGGCCCAAGAAACTCCGCACTTCAGTGACGGTCCTGGGTCGTTCCCAATTCATGTCAGCTTCAACTTTACTGGGATCCACGGCAATACCTTCTGCTGAAATTATGTGGCCCAGGAACTAGACTTCTCTAAGCCAGAACTCACACTTCGACCACTTCGCATATAATTGTTTCTCTCTAAGGATTTGCAAAACATCCTTAATTGTTCCACATGTAGTTCTTCATTGGGCGAATAAATCAGAATGTCATCGATAAAAACAATAACAAACTGATCTAGGAATGGGCGGAAGATGCGGTTCATATAATCAATGAATACCGCCGGAGCATTTGTAAGTCCGAACGGAATCACCTAGTATTCGTAATGCCCATATCGAGTCCTAAAAGCTGTTTTCGGAATATCCTCTGGTTTGACCCGGATTTGATGGTATCCCGATCGTAGATCTATTTTGGAAAAGACTCTGGCACCTCTCAGTTGGTCCATCAAATCATCGATCCTGGGGAGCGGATACTTATTCTTCACTGTCACTTTGTTCAGTTGACGGTAATCCACAAACAACCACAGACTACCATCCTTCTTCTTAATCAAAATTGTCGGAGCACCCCATAGAGAGGTACTGGGTCTAATGAATTCTTTTGACAGCAGCTCCTCTATTTGCTTCTTCAGCTCCCGAAGTTCCAAAGGTGCCATACGATACGGAGCAATGGAAATAGGTCCAACTCCGGGAATAAGCTCACCGGGAAATTCAATTTCCCGGTGATGAGGTAGTCGAGGAATTTCATCTGGGAACACCTCCTCGAATTCATTAACAACAGGAACATTCTGAATTGGGTTGTCAACCGAAGTCTCAGACTGAATCAACAACAGATATCCTACAGCTCCCTGATAAACCCTTGGTTCATCAAGTTTTTAAGCATGAATTAGCTTAATTTGTGTGATTAAATGGATGGAAAAGAGGGTTAATGTCCTAGAAAGTCCTAAATACAAGTTCTGAAAGCTTTATTGAAAATTTGCATTGTTCTTGTAAGGAAATGAAGCTCAATGAAGCAAAAGAGAGAAGGAAGAAAATTCTGAAGAATGGGAAAATTCTAAGTGTTGGGCGCTAAAACGCCCAAAGTCAAGAGTTTTAGCGCCCTGCTGTTCAAAAAGATGCTGGTGTTGAGCGCTAAAACGCCCAAATCGAACATTTTAGCGCCCTGCTGTGCGAAAAAGTTCTAGTGCTGAGCGCTAAAATGCCCAAATCGAATGTTTTAGCGCCCAAGACAGTTAAAAATGGTTGCTCATCCGTCCAAGTTGAGCACTAAAACGTCCAAGAATGAGCGTTTTAGCGCCCAAGTCAGTTTTTGGTTGTTTTTTAGTTGTATTTTGTAACTCTATAAAAGGCAAGGGCCTTCATATCCTATCATATTCTCATAGATTCTCTCTCTCAAATTCTAATCTGACCTTTCCCATCACACTAGGAGAGGGGAGATCAGATCAGATCTTTCATAGATTTGATCTGACTCTTCATTCTCTCTGAATTTCCAAATTCCTTAGGATTAATTTATGTAATAGTTAGTACTTTCCTATGTAATTGCACTTGAAGATTGAAGACTCAACTATCATGACAATGGAGTTTGATCTTTTCTCTTCTCTTGTTTATATTTTCATTATGTCTAAGTAGAGTCCTTTGTAGTCTGATTCAATGGAACTCAAGTTTGAATTTATGAATGGTTAATTAGATGTATTGTTTATTTATTATGTGATTTGTATGAAGTTGTCTTGATTAATTCTTCATGTTGATAAATAGTGTAGAACAAACATGTTTACATTAGTTCTCTATTTTTGACAACTTCATCATTAGTGTTCTAGTAGTCAAGACATTGATGCTAGGATCCTGATGTGGTCTTAAGACCTTAGTGATTAATGCATGTATTAAGAAAGGAATCACCAAGACATTAGGGTTTCTGATTAATGTATCTATCAGGGTAGTAAGACATTACATCTTGAGATGATAAGAAAAAGGTTGATCAACATCACATAGTAGATAATTCATTATGGAAATTGGTTCATCCATAAATTCATGCTTGAGAGAAATTGACATCTGACTACTTGTTTAAATTATAATCACATTCTATTTGTTTATATAGTTTTTATACAATTCAAATTAAATTTCTGGTGACAAGAAATCAATGCAATTAATGAACTTTTGGTTGATTCAACTTAAGTACATATGGTTAGTCAGTACTTGAACACAAATCTTCGTGGGAACGATCTTTACTCATCATTTTATTACTTGTTTGACTAGTGCACTTGCTAAATCTGACAACAAGTTTTTGGCACCATTGCCGGGGATTTGTTTCTTCAACATTGACAGACACCATTAATATTTGAGATTGAATTTTTATTTTTCAGCAATTTATATGTATTTGTGAAGTTTTGTTCTTTCTGGTCCAGAGCGCTTAAAGGTTCAGACGTGACCGTTTTAGCGCGATGCGACGCACATCAATGTGCACATGTCTCTGGAGACCAGCGCTAAAACGCTTGACTTCAACGTTTTAGTGCTGGTCCACTTATACGATTTTCAGTTATCTCATATGTTTCACACACTTTCACATGTCTCTGCATTAGTTTCTGCTATTTTCATTTTTTAGTTTCTTTTAGTTTTATTTTGTTGTTAGTTTACTTTTGTAATTCAGTTAAGTACATTGGGATATTCACTGTTTTTGCATTATGCATATTACGATAGTACTGATGCTATTGGTTTATATATGAATGTGTTTCAGTGATCAATTGCTGTTTTCAATTTAAATTAGTTGCTGGGGACAACAACGTTTGAATCTGGGAATTGGATGTGAATGAATGGCATGCAAACATCATGAAGATGTCACACAAATTGATGAGCCAAAACAGGGAAACATCTCAATCTCTTTTCTTTTCTAAGTTTTCTGTGTGATTTAGATTTTAGTTGTGATATTGAATTTGGATTTCAGTTGTGATATGGAATTCCATGAGGATAAGACTGATAAAAGTTTTATATGATTGATCAAATTAAGGATACAATCTTATACCTTGCATGTTGAGCTTAAATGAAATGATTGCATGACTCATTCAATGTGTAAGTAAGAGTAGAAAGATTAGTTTTGATGCATATAGAGAAAGTCAAGCATGCACTCTGATCTATGAGGAAATTGAGCCTATACAGAAAATTTTGTTCAGAGAGCACTTCACTGTATGAATAACTCTAGAACTTGCCATGTTTCTTGCTTGAAATGGTTTATGATGTATAGGGTAAAAATGATTGAGGCACTTCCTTCTTGAACCAGAAAGTTTAAAGGCCAACCCTAATGTTTCCATTGCATGAAACCCTTGAGCTTAAGCCTGTTTGTCTATAACCAAGAACCACATTTATTTCAATCCTTCAGATTAAAAGTTTCAGATAAGTGATAAGGGATAGAGTGTTCTGTGGGGAGGAAAGTGTTTTTGCAATAAGTGAATGCAAGGTGTTGGAAACATAAGAAAGAAAGAAGGAAAAGAAAGAAAAGGTTGTGAAACACAAAGTGTTTGGAAGAGACAGAGGGAAGTATTAAAGACACAAAGTGTCAGAAAGAAAAAGAAATTTTTTTGTTAAAGACACAAAGTGTCAGGAAGAAAAGGAGGAAGAAAGGTTCAAAGAAAAGAACAAGGAATGAAAAGGAAGAAAGTTGAGGGAATTAGGAAGAAATTGATTAATTACTGTGAATTTCCTCTTATCTGAATCTGATTCACTCCCCGAAGGAGCTCTTTTCTAACTTGTAACAAGGAAATAGTAGCAAAAGGCTGGAAATTACCATCTCTTGGAGGAACAATGACCTTCCCTGCTTGACAGTCCAATGTTATTTCGTTCTCCGTCAACCATTACATACCGATAATCACCTCAAAATTGAATACCGGCAGAACCACTAAATTCACTGTATAAGTGTTCCCTTCAAATTGCAAAATAACACCTCTGCAGATTTCTGATGCAGTACAAGATCCTCCAGTGGGAGTACTGATGTTTAACTCATAGGGTAACAGAGTTGGGGTGATGCCTATTCTAATAGCAGTGTGCTTTGTCATAAAGGAACCTGATGCTCCAGAATAAAAAATAACAGATATTGGATAGCCATTCAAAATTACATTACCTCGAATCAGATTAGGATACTTCTGAGCTTCATTTGCATCAAGAGTGAACACCCGAGCTTGAGTAGGAGGCTGGTTAGCATTCCGTTGGAAATCATAAGCAAAATGTCCTGGCTGACCATACTTGTAACATGAATTGCTTCCACGTCGACAGACTCCAGCATGATTCTTTCCACAATTTGTACAGGTATTGGGACCCTATCGTCCGGTAGATGATTGACCAGGAGCAATATTCTTCTTGCAGTTTCCAGTCCAAGCTTGCAACTGCGGACCCTTGCCTCTATTCATTCCGGTAATTTTTCTGAAGAACCGGCCCACTTTACTTCCTCCCTGAGATTGCATCGGCTGTTTAGACAGATTCCTTGCTTCATTGATAATTTCCTCCGTTTGCTGACTCTGATTAATCAACTCAGGCAAAGTACGATTAGTTGTAGTCAGCATGAGTTTCCGGATCTCCGGGTGCAATCCACTTTCATATTTCTCTACCTGCCACTCTTCGTCATAGATATTCCGATCAAAATTGGCGTATTCCATCAGCTGCCCAAACTTAGCAATATATTCGTTGACAGTCATGTTATCCTGCCTTAGTGATAGCAGCTCAGTGTGTTTCATTCTTCTCATGGCCTTTGGGAAATACTTGTCGAGAAAAACCCGTCTGAACACAGCCCAAGTCAGATCAACATTTTGAGCTCGCAGCAGAGCCCTCGCACTGGTCAACCAAGTCAAAGCTTCCCCAATCAACTGGTATGATGCATAGTCAGCCTTCTGAGCTTCACGGCATACCATCCGCTCAAATATGTGCTCAATCATTTGCAGCCATCTCGCTGCTGCCTGAGGATTATCCCCACCTTCAAATGTAGGCGGCTGAAAGTTTCGGAAGTCTTTCAACCTCCGTCTGGCAATTTCCTCAGCATTGTCCTGCATCTGGGGTTGGTTTAGATTCTGGTGCCGATATTCTCTCCACTCTTGACTCATGTTCTGGACAAAAGTGGCCAACCCCCCGACGGTAGTGATAAGGTCGTCAGGTGCATTGCCTGTCCTTCCCTGAGTAGAACCGCGGGTACCTGCCATGTTTCTGCACTCACAATACCACGAAATGAGTTGATCAAACTCACTGCAAGCTATTTATGACAGCTGTAACACCCCGTGTATACCCGGAATATTATCATTACATCGTATTAAGCTGCGCTTAATTAAAAATTGCGGAATATCTTTTTCTTTTCAATTATGACGTCATTATGCTTAGCCAAGTTGATTACTTAATCAATTTTGTACAAACAATGCCTGTATGTAAATTGCAAGACAACTAACTGAAATACCTCAATATAAAATATAAAGTGAGTATCTAAGTCACGACATTACATCACATAATTTGGACAATATCCTGATACATTAATACAACTCTAAATAAAAAGAGACATAACCCAGTCTAAGTGGCATGGACAATCCCCATGCTCACCAAATCAACAACATAACGACAGAGTCTCAACAAGATAATCCAAAGTCATAAAATGAAGCTAAAAGCATAAAAGCAGCAAGCATATCCAGCATCCAACATGTCAGTATATAATATCATCAATATCTAACTCAGCTCCGGCCTCCTTCCGCCTGGGGCCTCAACCCCCACATTACCTGATCCTGAAATAAGCATTCCCCAAACGTGGGGTGAGATCTCTAAACTAGAAATCTCAGTAAGACAAGGGGTCCTCAAGGATCTTCCACCCCAAGCTCACTTACATGTGCAATATAAGTTCTAAAAGCATTTATATCAATATAAGTTCCAAAACTATGCAGTGCAACAGATATTCATGCCATATGTGTCAATACTATTCTACTGGCCAGAGAAATGCAGGAATATGTCTATCACCTACATGTAGTACAAGGAACACCACTTGCACCTCACCAACAGCCTCACCATATTGTATGTACTACATACTCAGGCTTACCGTATAGGTGGAACACCACATGCATATCATAAAGGCATTAGCATATAACAGCTCAACAACATTTTCAAAACATCAAAAGCATGTAACACAGCATGCATATAACCATACCCCCATGGGACATGGTGGAACCACAACATGGCTAAACCGAGGACACGAAAGCTTAACTTGCAAGCTAGCTATCCAAGCCAAGAGTCCACAATCTTAAAGCCCAAACACAGCAGTATCATAATCTGTTATGGACCAATAATACATCAATAATCGTATTCTACAAGCATACAACATAAAGACAACGCCTTTCCTTACGTTTTACGTCTTAAGGCTTCTAACAAAGCCACAAGCTCTTAATCACATGATTCTGACTTAGTTCATTAAAAACAGAAGTTCAACTTCATCAATCTAGGGTCCACAAACCCCCAGTAGCCTACTGTACACACAGCACAACTATTGTTCTACGAAATCCCAGAATATCCGGATATTCCTCGGAGACATATCCGGATATCCAATATCCGGATATCCATCTGGCAATATCCGGATATCAATATCCGGATATCCAGATTCCCATATCCGGATATCCAGATTCCCATATCCGGATATCAATATCCGGATACATATATCCGGATATCAATATCCGGATATTTCACGAGCAAATATCCGGATATTTCGCGACAGAATGCAGTTTCTGCATTTCGCGAAGATATCCCTCCAAGGTTCCATTTTTACCGATTACAGAAGCCTAAACATGCATTTCTAGGTGTGTTTGACATTACCTCAAGTTAGGTTATCATCTTTTAACCATTACATGCATCAAGGTTCCATTTTTAGGCATAAAAACTCATGATCAAGTTGAAGTACATACACAAGGCTTCAAAGCAGAAACAAGGGCTGCTCTTGGAGCTCACAACCAGCTCCAACAAACTGACTACACAAGACCAACGAAAATGCCACAAAGCTTGGCCCTTTCTTCACAAAGGAAGCTCCTTGAAGCTTCACAAAACAAGAAGATGACTCCACAACCCCCAACTCAACAAGACAGCACCTCAAGCTCACTAAGACAGCAACACAACTCAGAACATAAGCTCCTCTCCCACTCACAAGTGACCATCACACCAACCATAATGCTAAGGATGAAGAAAAGAGAAGACTTAAAGCCAAAGGAGCCAACTTGCTCAAGAAATGGAGAAGAAAACCCAAAGGAGCAGCCAAACGGATCAGCCTCTCAACAACTCACGCATAGAAGTCTGTTTTCTAGGGTTGTGTGCCCTTAATAAGAGTATTTATAGGTCACTTAAGCATTAAACACACAGTATTAAATTTAATTACTACTCTTAGCATTTTAATCTCAAACTCAAGATTCTTAATCTACTCATTTTTCTAAGATTTATCATATTTTTATTATATTTTTTGGAGCACCTTTCCGGTACGCGCTTTTCATAGCCAGTATCAGTTTTTGGCACCAGTTCTCATTATTTTAACTTGAAACTCGTTTTACAAGTCCTATATATTATTTTAGGAATTATCATTCACTTATTATAATTTTCCGGGATACTTTTTCGGTACGCATTTATACCGACTAGCAGAACCGGTATCTGCACTTTTCTTCCGAAAAGTGACTTTCAGCATTCTTAATCACTTATCATAATTATTAAAGCCTCTTAATAATTATAAGGGTCAATTATGGAATCATTTCCTAAATTAACATAATTAATTACTTAATTTCCTTAATTAACGGTACGGGTTCTTACAACAGCAATCCCAAGTAGGTACTCGAGTTCAATTCAGATAAGTTAACAATGCATCTGCCCCTATTATCGTATAATTCTAACAGCCTAGGTATAACAGTTAATATATCTTAAATAGTTTAAACAGTTTATCATACAGCAGGCAACAATTATTTCACAATCAATTACAATCAGCAGACAATTCATCAAGCAGCAAGCAATTTCAACCATAAAACAAACACCATGAACCAAACTGCTCTGATACCATTTAGTGTGACACCCTCCCCTGTATGCATCCAGGAGAGTTGTCTCCTAACCGGATTAGAGTCCAAACGTCGTTACTAAGATATTGAAAACTCATTTTTAAGTTACTAAATAAACACTTAAGTAGAAATCTGGTTGTTCATGAAAATCAGAGTGGACTTTTAAAAATACATAGCTTACTGGAATTATTTCTTTTCCTGACAGACCTTTCTGTCTTGCAAAAATCGTGAAAAATCAAGTTTTCATAATTCCATTGTAACGTTTACATAATCTGAAACTAGACACATGGGGCTTCGCGCGCATATAAATTATAAGCAATTCGGAGGTCTGTTGCCCCACTAAATATAACTCGCAAAGAACTCGCAAAAACAGTTTATAAAGTTGTGTTCAAAACGTTAAGAAATAGTTTTCGCAAAACTTTTTCAGAATTTTCCCAAGGTGCTAACCGATTATAAAAAGCCTCAAAATAGTAGCTAGATCATAGTTCCAACAGTAATCCAAACTTCCCAAAATAATACAGTCATCCAATCAAGTAAACAGTAACAACAAAAATCCAAATAGCAGCAATTCACAACAATTATCCATATAACCACGTCCTCATATGCTTTTACGTCCTCCTGCAATTTTATAAAAATTGCAGCCCCAAAGGGGTGAGAAAAATCCCAGTAGTGTGATATCAAAACCAATAATGCAACAGTATTAAACTAGGCACAAAATTATAAAACAGTCACATCAACATTTCATTTTCCGGAGAAGTATAACATAGTGCGTATATAACGCCATCATTACGCTCATAGCACTGTCGCGCGCGTACTAACATACACAGTGGATATTCCATAATAGCTCCTCAAAGGTGAATTCCAACTGTGGCCTATGCGGACGGAAGCCAAGTGTCCCATACCCTGGTACTGAAGGGATGCCTATATGATGCGTGCTCAGACACATGAATCTTTTATAAATATTCTTAGTGTCAAGGATAACATGAATTCTGTACATGTATGTCATGCTATGCTTTCACACACAAAATAGAAAAACAGATGCGGTATGATGTAAACGTGCATGACTAAATCATTATTATCATAACATATTCTTCATCCTGCCATATTATAATTTTACCTCGTAACAAAATTACCATCAAGACATTTCCATAGGCAGAATACTTTCATCATAAATAACAGAATAATTATTAGGCACATGTGAGCAACATGTCACAACTTTATACACTAGTCAATAGTCACATTAGGTAATACCACCTAACACTTACCTCACGCGTCACAATTAATTTACCAGGCAGCAGCGAAATAATCCAAAGTCTCAAAGGTTTTGCTCACCTAATATATCAACGTACCAAATCAGAATTTCATACGATTATCCCAATAATTTCTAAGTTCCTAAATCATGCACTTTCATCGAATGATAGAACTACTAGTGTTAATTACATTCTGCCCTTAATAAGTATTCCATTCCTTGCTAGAAGTTACCATTTTCTCAAGGCTCATCACATATATAGGTTCGGTTTAAGGCTTCTCATAAGTGATTACATTTTTCTGACTTCGTCTAATTTTATTAATTCATACAGCAGTAGCACCCAACGTTTTTCCTTAGTTCCCACATAGAACTCTAACGATTTCATCATATTTTCTTCCCTAATTAAATTCTGACTTTTCAACAAGATTATGATCATTTAACAATGAAACATCCTAAGGTTTCCAATCAAGACAGAATCGGTTTTTATACAGGAAATTCCTCAAGATTTCATTCATAAAATTTCTACTTCCCTAACCTTATGGTGCGAAAAGAAAGCCTATACATCATGCTGTCTATTTAGTTTAAATAGGACTTAGTACATGTGAAAGTTCATCAAAATAGGGTCGGTCTTATCCAAACAAAACGTCAATGATACGCATACTCCAACTTAACAAATTTACCTATGGTGCGCTATATGTAGTCTACGCATGTTGTCCTTTATATTTTAATTCATGCCAAGCTCAAAGCATACTAAATCATAGCCAAACAGCCCCACCAATTATTATAAGGTCATTTCCAAGTTTACTTGTCATGCTTTCAAGCTAGGGTCCTAGAGATTTAATATGGCAGAATCTAAAAGGGATAAAATAAATAAAAAAGCTACTTCCTAAGCATG